TTTTTCGATGTACCCTTGGATACTGGGCCTTGTAAGACTGATTGATGCATTCTTAGCTCAGCCAAATGCCAAAAGAGATACGGTAGTTGCACCTTAGATTGATTCCAAAAATTATAACCGTTCTCTGCGTAGATAGAGCTCCGAAAATTGCCCATTTTTGGCTTCTTTTGAAATTTTGAGATCTCAATTCAACACTAACAATTTTCTAATTTTTAGAATTGCGTTAATTATATTCGATCATGGTTCCCTGCTCGCCGTCGAAACTGAGGATCGGATCTTCTATTTCATACAGTGCATATCTATCTTTTTTGGATTCTAAAATGTTCAATTGTGCTAAACTGTCTTTGATCTTTGTTGCTCTTCCTATTTTTCAAATTATCAAAAAATGTTTGTGATCAAAATTTCAAGTCTGATGATATCAAAACGAATAACAAAAATGTCTATTTTTCGGAGAAGAAGATAGAAAAAATCACCTAATTAATTCCTTGGGGAGTTTAGATCACGGGGAGAAACACGTTTTGTTGAACTCGATGGAAGTGGAAAATAGGGAGTCATATAGAGGGATTATCTGCAGACGGGGCAATTAAGAACAGGGGGTAATTAGGGTTAGGATCTCTAGAAAGTTTTAGGGTCTTCGTGAAATGCATGTATGTTTGTAGATGCTAACATAAAATTAAATGTGATTCCATGCAATTCTTATGATCCAAAGTGAATTTGATCATAACTCGATTAGTTTAAATACGAGATCATTTATTTTGGTATCATTCAAATCAGCGGGAAATTTTTCACATTTTGTATACATTTCAAAATGATCTCTTCGATCCATTCTCAAAAAAATAGACCATTACATGATTTCAAGTTGGCAAAATACATTATGTTTGCAAAACGGACCATAGCTAGCTTGGTTTTTGAGCTAGAGATTAGATTTTTATAAAATTCAACTCAACGGAAAATTTCGCACATTTTGATATGTATTTCAAATTACATTCCCCGTTCCACGTCATCAAACTAACCATAGAATAACCATGCCCTCCACATGCCATTCTCGCCTGTTCAATGCCCTCTCCAGTCTGATAAGTGACCACTGATTTCAATCCAGAAGTCAATGCATGTAGATCAGCCATTCCAGATGTATTCCCATTTTGAACATCAATCAATAATTGATCATATAATCGAATTGTTTCAAATCCACAGAAGATGAAGGCGTAGGCGCGAGCGATTGATGGGAATAGACGGTGTAGTTGGGTTTGGTAATCCAGCACTTTCACTTCACGGCTTCTGCAAAAAGATTTTAGCATTGGGATAAGCTTTAAGTTAAACACATTTTGTTAGTTGGAAGCAAATTTCTAGCTAGCAGGGTTCGCGAGATAGGCTAGGTGTAAGCTTGCCGTTCAGAATCTTCCCTAAATGTTGCCCGCTTATATCCCAAAAGCTAGATTAGCTACCCAAAAACTGTTAACTAAGAAAATATAGTAGATTTTCTTATAATCATTTCGTTAGTTAACAAATTTTGGCTAGCTCTTTTAGCTTTCGAGATATTTTGATTTTTTCAGCCAATCTCCTCTCAAAGTTTGATGGCTTCCATCTCACTAATCAATTTACCTACAGACTTACTTCCAATTGGGAAAATATTTCAAATTTTGATTACTAACTTATCCTTTAAAAATCCTTGTCTCCTCACTGCCGAATATCTCACGGCGATCGTCAACGCATGTGCCAGAAACAATCCCTGCTCTGCGGCCATTCGACTTCTCACTTTAACCATACTCGAGTACCCAATTTTAGCATGCGGTGGTTTGATATAACTCCCATCTGATGTCACTTTACTATGCCTCATTAGCATATTCTCTCTTGGAATACGGTAGTTTTTGAATCCAAGAAATCCATTATCAGCCCCATTAAAAGCCATTTTTGGTCCAATATCTCCTACAGTAATCCCTGGAAGAGGTTCATGTGATTTCTCATCTCTCAATTGGACCATAAAGGGATGTGGACCATAGTTGTGTTCTTTGATAATAAGATTAGCAATCACAATTGACCAATTTGCACTTTTTCCAAGTGCTCCAGGCCACCATTTCAGAGAAGTTATTGTTGGAGAATTCAGGATGAATTCTCGGGTAGAAATGTCAAATGTAGCTGTGGTTTCCAGTGCTCGGAGATTTGATCCTATAAAAACAAGTGCTAAAGAACCCTTGAAATAGCTAGTTAACACTTTAAAAAAGTCAAAAAGAAAAAAGTTCTAGGTTGGGGTCGAACCTAGGACCTCTTGGATCTTAGCCAAAAGCGTAGGCCGTTAAGCTACCACAGCGCTGGGGACAGAAGGAGTGACGGGCAATAATAAGTTACGCGGTGGCCGGTAGAGGAGAGAACAGTCACTCTAGCTCTTCTAGCTTCACAGGTTGAGAGGGTCCTAAACTTTAGACGCTCATAACTCGAAAACTAGTGAAGCTAAATAAAAAGTGTGAACTACAAAAATACAGTAAATTTTACAAGAAATAGAGTGTTGGTAAACAATTTTAATCTATCTCTATCACTTTTTGATATAAATTGCTTTTTAGTCAGTCGAGATCCTTCCTCTTATAATCAAAATACCTAAGAAAGTAGACAAGCTATCAAAAAGTTGTAAACTAACAAAATGTGTCAAATTTTGCACTAAGCATTTTACGAATTGACTTTTTAAAAAATCTAAACTGATTCTCCAGATAATCCCAGATTTACTTACCATGCCCCAATTCCGTTTGCGCATAACAACCAATGATTTCTCTTCGTTGAGCTCTCATGAGCCATTTCTCCTGTTGCTCATCAGTACCCTGAGTAGCAATGGGAGGTATAAAAAGTGACTCATGCAGTGCCAATGGGTAGCCTTCGATGCCTATGACTTCTCTGGAACTTTGTTTTTGAATTTGTGTTTTTCTAATTTTTTAAAAATAAAATTCTCACTGATGAATAAAAACTGTCTCCTCAAAACTCTCCAAATCAATTAGTCCAGGAAGTAGTCTATTCAAGACTGCGCTCTTTCTAGATCCTTCTAGAATTTTCTCCTCTCGAGTCATAAATGGATACGGTTTGGAGTCTTTGAGTTCCGGGATTCTGGAGACGGCTTCAGAGATTTCTCGACGGCGTTGGGCTAGCTAAAAGTGAAGCTGATTACCTAATTAGGAGCCTAGTTACCTTGTCACTTCCATAAATCACCGCAGCCATTGCATTTGTATCGAATGTTCCAGAAAGTCTCTCATCGGTGAGATCCGGATTGTCCCCGGGTTTTATTGATTGATTCATATTGAGACACAGTGTAGTGTCAACGTAGTGCCTAATTGTAACAGTCTTAACCTTTTATACCCCATGGAAAAAGTGGGCGGAGCCTAAATGTGTGCAAAAAAACCTGTACTATTTATTAGTGCAACTTTTAAAGTACAATAAAAACAATAAAAATCAATAAAGTTATTTTATAATCTGGCCTTTTCCATCATTGGTTTTAAGTACTGAGTAACTGATGGAAGTACGTCTGTCTTGTTCAATGGAGACGATTTTGCCCATTTGAAGAGATTCTCATAGACATTTCCATCGCGACGACCGAGGACCTGCAAATTCGAGGGTTCATAACTTGGTTTCTAATTGACTTTTTAGAAAAATTCAAATTGGAATTTGTAGACCTTGAAAAGGGCTACAGAATCATATAAAACTTGTATAGGTTTAAGTTTTCGGGGTTATATTTAGGAGTTGTTCACACGGGGTACTCTGAGGCTGCCCGAAAAGAGTCGACAGGTTTTCAACGCTCATCATTTTTTTGGAAATTTGATATTTTTGTAAATTTCAATTTTCAAATTATAGAATTTGAATAGAGCTACAAAACCATGTTTAATTTGCTTCAATTTAATATTCGGAAGCTTTCCGAAAATTAATACGAAGAGGGACATTGTGAGAAGGCTATAAAAGGGCGCATAGTGTTTAAAGGCGCATAACTTGGCTCAAATTTGATTTTGCTCAAATTTTCAAAATGGAAATTATAGAATTTGAATAGAGCTTTGAAATCTTATACGATTTGCTGAAATTTGAAATTTAGAAAAATCTAAAAATTAAGTTAAAGAGACAACGTGTGAGAAGGCTTGTTAAGCTGTATATAAGAGCGCATGTGTTTAAAGGCGCATGACTCATCTCAAGTTTCATTTTTTTCGAAATGTTAAAATTGCTTGTTGTAGAACTTAAAAAGGCCTATGAAAAAATATATAATTTGCCTAGGTTTCAATCTTGGGACGTCCATACGGTAATCGTGAACGTATGGTGATCTGAGGTTCGTGTGTTTAAAGGTGCATAACTTCGTTCAGAATCGACTTTTTAGAAAAATTCAAATTGGAAATTATAGATCTTGATTAGGGCAACTACACTAAATTTTATAGCCTAGTGAAGGCTTTAAAACTCACCGATCTCAGCTCAATATCGCTAAACTCCCAGGAGTCCAAAAGTGACACTGCATTTGGTCGAATTTTTCCAAGATACAAGTAGACTTGATCTCTGATATAATCCAGTTGACTGGCTGACAAGAACCCATCCTCCAATGCATATGACGCAATATCCAAGAGCTCATAATTAACGTGTAAATGGAGCAAGTCTGTCAGTGCCTCCTTAATCCGGATGTCCGCAATTTCGTTGACACGTCTGACGAAGGCTTCGACGATGAACAGACGGGTATGGAGACGGCTGGCCTGGGAAAAAGCTAACTTAGCTCAGCTGAGAGTTAACGGTGTAGCTTGTGTAGCTCAGAAAAGTTCAATTTTCTTTAAAAGTTGTCATTGCACTTCTTATCTTCTTATCAAACTTTTTGTTGACCAACAAAAAAGTGCAAATGTTGCAAATGTTTGATATCAGTGTAGCCATTTATTTTTGCAAGTCAATTTTTTTTCGGTGAGGGGGGGGGGTTGAAGAATTTTCAAAGTTACATTTTGTAGCTTGGATTTATTCAAAACTTCTAAAGACAAAAATTTGAAAAGGGCACTAAAGACACCTGAAAAAACGACCAGTGCATTTAGCACTACAACTTGCTTCAAACTCAACATTTGCAATTTTTCTAACTTGTAAAATGTGGATTTTAAAAAGCTCTACAAAACGGTATAAAATTCAAAAGTCTTCGGTTTTCCAGTTTTTGTCTGGGACGCGTTGATCAAGCGCAACGTTTAACACACACCGTTGAAAAACCACGAGTCTATTTACTGCCATAACTTTCTTCAAGGTTGATACTTTGATGTTTTCTAAATTGTAAAATGTAGATTTTAAGAAATTCCACAAAACCATCTAAAATTTAAAGAATTATGAGTTTTGTGCTCATCCACAGGAGACGTTGAATTAGAACGTATCAGAAGACACCCAAGCTCCGCTTTCTTGGATTATAACTCAACAAGCAGTTAACCGATTTTTACGATAATTATACCAAATTATAGGAAATTGAATTAATTGTATTCTATTCAAAATTTGTATCTCCTAACTGACCCTATTCAACTCCACGGAGCACTTATTCCATGCAATCTCTCGTTTCTCTCCCTTCTCCATTAACCCGAAGAACATATCGGCTGCCTTGAGTGTTTGTCTTTTTGACACATGTTGGAACGTCTTCACATACTCAGTGAATCCAGAATTTGGAATACGATCGATTAGAGAAGTTGGCTCGGATTTGACACCCAGATAAGCGACTAGAGGGCCGAGTTTCGAAGATTGACCTGATTTCACAAGTGCTGCTGATTTGACAAGATATCTTGCCAACTGGAGGAGCATCACCATATTCTCCCCTTCATACGTACATCCACCAATTGCAACTCCATAGATCTCAGAGATGTAGCTGGCCTGGAAGTATGGAGATTTGAAAATACACTTTTTGAAATCAGCGGATTTGATAACCCTGCGATCGTTTTTCCACCAATTTGGGATCAAAAAATCAGATTTAAAATTCCTAATTTTCCTCCAAATCTTCTATTTTAGCATCAAAACAAAATCTCAACATTTTAGTTTGTTTTCCCTATGCGGTTTTCAATGTCAGCTATATTTTAGCATAACTTGCTTGGTTTTTGAGCTCCAATTTCTAATTTTATACCATTCGAATTAGCGGAAAATTTTAGACATTTTTATTTAAAAATCTCTATTGAAATGTTAAAATTGAATTGAATTATGGGGCTTTGAAGTTTTTGGTTTTTAGAAAACAAAAAATAAAACTGATGCTACAAAATTGACTTTAACTTGCTTGATTTTTGAGCTAGAATTTTGATTTTTATATCATTCGAATCAGCAGAAAATTTTTTACATTTTGTATACATTTCAAAATGATTTCTTCAATCCATTCTCAAAAAAATAGACCATTACATGATTTCAAGTTCGCAAAATACATTATGTTTGCAAAACGGACCATAGCTGGCTTGGTTTTTGAGCTAGAGTTTAGATTTTTATATAATTCAACTCAGCGGAAAATTTCGCACATTTTGATATGTATTTCAAATGACATTCCCCGTTCCACGTCATCAAACTAACCATAGAATAACCATGCCCTCCACATGCCATTCTCGCCTGTTCAATGCCCTCTCCAGTCTGATAAGTGACCACTGATTTCAATCCGGAAGTCAATGCATGTAGATCAGCCATCAGAGAAACATTGCCAGATTTCATCTCCTTCAAAACGTGCTCGTACAGTTTGACAGTCTCGGCTCCAGCGAATTGGAATGCGTAGGCTCTGGCGATGGATGGGAAAAGACGGTGTTGTTGGGTTTGGTACTCGAGTACTTTTACTTCTGGTTGACTGGAAATGTGAAAAATTACACTTTCCGTAATTATGGTTGTCAGATTTTGATTTTCCATGCCCTACGCAAAAAACAAAAAGAAAAAACTCGAGGTAGGAGTCGAACGCCGGACATCCTGCTCCAGAACCAAAAGCGTAAACCCCTATACCAAATATCACAATGGGGTGTGTGGGGTGGATGGCGATTATAACTTTGGAGTGCATTGAGAAAGGCAAGCAGAGAAGCAGTCGCTCGTAGGGTTCATAGGTTTGAAAACCTCAACTTTGGACGCTTATATCTTGAAAACTACAATAGCTACTGAAATGATTCAAATATTGAAATATGGGAAATTTTGAGGCAAAAATTTTAGTAGTTGTCATAATTCTTCTATCTTGTTTGGTGTTTGAGATATATTGGTTTTTACTAGACAGCCTCATGCCTATTTGGGTTCCTAGGTTGGGATAGTAAATTTCAGATGCTTGTATCTCGAAAACTAGAATAGCTACTAAAATTTTGAAAATAAATATAGGAAATTTTGAGGCAAACACTTTTGTAATTGAAAGTTTGCGTTTAGGGCTTTTAGTTTTAGACATATATCTCTTTGAAAGTTTTCAGTGCCTTACATAGCTTTACTTGAACTTTGTGCTCAATTATCTTAATTCCCATGAGAGATATCAAAAACTTGTGAACTGTGACAATGTTTCCGATATTATGATAAACATTTTGTTAGTTGACATATTTTTGATATCTTTCACACGAAATGAGATAATTGAGCTAGCTTATCATTTCTAAATTCGATTTCCTGAACTTCTCACCTCTTATCAATCTGTCCTTGCCGTCTAACCGATGAGTATCTAGTCGCAATATTTAGTGCACTCGCCAACATAATCGCCTGTCCCGTCAACATATAAGCTCTAACATGAACCATAGCGGAGTAGTTGATCTTAGCATGGGGCGGTTTTATATAAGTCCCATCGGCCTCCACCTTAGTATGTCTCATGAGAAGATTCGTTCTTGGAATACGGTACTTGTTGAATCCCAAAAATCCATTGTCCACAATATTATATGCCATTTTTGGTCCAATATCTCCAATAGTGATTCCTGGAAGCGGCTCGTGCGTCTTCTCATCTCTCAATTGAACCATAAACGGATGTGGCCCATAATTCTTCGCCTTGATTATCATATGGGCTACTACAACCGCGTAGTTGGAGCTTTTTCCTAGATTTCCTGGCCACCATTTCAATGCGGTGATTTGTGGAGTATGGAGTACAAATTCTTGTGTCGCCAAGTCATAAGTAGCCGTTGTCTCCAGATTCTGAAGATTCGTTCCATGACCCAATTCGGTTTGGGCGTAGGTTCCAATGATTTCTCGACGGAGAGCTCTTGGTAGCCATTTGGCTTGTTGCTCATCGGATGCTTGAGCAGAGAGCGCTGGAATGAACATGACTCCGTGGAGTGCCATTGGGTTGCCTTCCAGACCGAGGACTTCGCTGAAATAAACCTTTTAGTTTGGGGTCTTCTCTTTGAGCACATATATCTCATTTCCTGTAAGAGATATTCAAAAATGAGTAACTAACAAATTAATGCTGATATTATAATAAACATTTTGTTAGTCAGCGACTTTTTGATATCTCTTACAGTAACCGAGATAAATGGGCTCACAGTTATCGCGCCGCTGAGCTACGCGGTCACAACTTGTTAGTTATGTTAATGTTTATAGGTAAAGCTACAATAAAACAGTTTTTTATCATCTTACCATTTTTTAAGTACCATCAATTTTTTGATATATTTATCTAGAGGCACCTGGGTTCCCCTTCACCTTGTCTGTGTGAAAGGTGCCCCTGGTGTGACCCTTCTCTATAGAGCCTCTTGCCTAACCTTCTACTTTAAACCCATTTATCTCATTTCCTGTAAGAGATATCAAAAAACGATAAACTGATAAAATGTTAAACATAATATCAGTAATATTTTGCTAGTTGGTTACTTTTTCATATATTTTACAGGAACCGAGATATCGCGATTTTAAGTTTCACCCCTGATGAAAAATACGGGATTTCGAAAGATGAACTTTAAGCCAATTTATCTCGGTTACTGTGAAAGATATCAAAAAGTGTTAAAGTGATCAAATGTTAAGCATAATATCAGTAATATTTTATTAGTTTACCATGTTTTGATATCTCTTACAGTAACCGAGATAAATGGGCTTTAATGCTGTGCGAGAAGGGCTCTATAAATTTCAGCCCATTTATCTCGGTTTCTCTAGAAGGTATCAAAGAAAGTGGTAAAATGTTTATTATAATATCACAAAAATTTTATCAGTTTACCACTTTTCGATATATTTTACAGTAACCGAAATATATGTGTTCAAAGTTATCCTTTAGTCGTAACAGCTAGGCGAAGTGCGGCTCATTTCAAAACCCCAACACTTTTATCGTTAATTTTTGTAGTCTTTGTAGTCTGAACTCACTTATTCAAATGATACAACTCGGCTGGATCAGTTGGGTCAATAATCTGGCCCATTTTCTCTGTCAAAATTGTCAACTTTCTCGCCGATTCCATAATTTTCTCCTCTCTGGTCATAAATGGTAATGGTTTGGAGTCATGGAGCTCTGGCATTTGAGCAATTTTAGCACTAATCTCACGACGACGACGAGCGCGCTGAAAATTGAAATTTTTTTTAGCTGAAAGGTTCCTAAAACAAGTTTCTGAAACACTTCGCCGACCCTCGCGAAGTCACCAGTAGACCAAAATTTCTCAAATTTTCACAGGTAATTCGAAATAGCAGCGAGATGATGCCCAAACTTTCCGTTTTTCAAAATTTTGATTTTGAAGCCTTCTGGAGACGTTCCTTTGCTTCATCACAGTGAAAAAAGGGGTGGTGGGAAGAGAGGGCGAGGAGAATAGAGCAAATATGAACAAAACTAATCATTTGAAACAAAAATGTTACCTTCTCACTTCCCCAAATTTGAGCAGCCATATCATTGGTATTAAACGTTGATGTTAACCTTTCAGATGTCAAATCCGGATTATCTCCTTCTTGAATGTTCTTGTTCAGATTTTGAACCATTTTTCAGTTTTTATTTATCTGGAACTTTGAAATTTTAACAAATTAATACTTACAGAAAATCCAAGTTTCTACAAAAGTCTTTAAAAAATTGTGAATCTAAAAAACTCCAAAAAATTCTTTAAACACCTGAAAGTAGCGAAAGTTCCACACTGTCAAATTTGAGCTAATTATCTCCGTTCCTATAAGAGATATCAAAAATATGTCAACTGATGAAATGTTTTTGATATTATGATAAGCAATTTATCAGTTGACAGGTTTTTGATATCTCTCCTAAGAGCCGAGATAAATTGGCTCAAAGTTTAACGTCTAGTCCACACTTGGCTAAAGAAGTTCACAATTTTTTTCAAAAAAAAATTCAAAAACTGTACTAAAAAGGAAAACTAAACAAAATAAGAGGGAAAAACTCTAAACTGATATGTTCTCTGCACTGATAAAACACACAATTTCGACCATTTGTCCACTTTTGGCTAAAAGGAGGAAAAGAAAGGAAATGATAAGATTTTTATCATTTCCCCGCCATCAGACCACATCGTACCGCCCGTCTCTTCTATTCGTCACCTTCTTCTTATAAGGACTACAAAGTAGTCTGTATACGTGATCTAAATAGCTACATGATCATTTTTGTAAATATGTACCCGAACATTTTAGTGAAAACAAGTGTTTCCTAATGTGTAGCCTATAATATGACTTGTGGAAATGATTTGACTAAAGTTAAGCTTCATTTTTCCAGTTTACAAATTCCTTCTAGCATTTCTAGTTTTTGAGATATTCAAGTTTTTAGAAAAAAACGAGGTAGTTTAGAAAAACCAAAATATCTCAAAAACCAAACAAGATAGAAAAAAGTGTCAACTAACAAAACATTTGGCTTAAAATTTCACACATTTTCTAAGTGAACAACTTTTTTGTAGGTAAAGCGGTTTTTGAGATATAGATGCTCAAATTTTAGAATCTCCTCTCCTCTAACTACCAGAGAAGAAAGATTGTTTGCTTGTCTGCGCTCTCTCAACGCCCACCACCTTGCTGTTTATATCTGCCTTCCGCAACTATCTGCTCGAAGCGTCCACATGGTGTGTAGGTAAAACTTTTGCTTTTGGTTCAAGAGGTCGCAGGTTCAATCCCAGCGGTGGTGTTTTTCTTTTTTATTCCTTTTGCTTCTTTTCTAATGCACGGGAAACTGTTTTTTGTGGATTTTGACTAATTTTAAGAAGTTCTGATTTGAAAAATCCCGAATTCTGAGACCTCTGAAAACCCAAAAAAAAATCAAATTTTCGCGCAAAAAAAATAAAATTTATTTGATACACAGACAGACACACAGACAGACATATCAAAAAATAGTTAATTAAAAATTCAAACAGCATCATCATTATTTCCAGAGCACAACAATGGTTTTCCCTCATGCAAAATCGCAGCCGCCGTTTTATCGATTATCGATTTTCGGACAGTTTTCGGCTTCTCCTGACAAGTGGGCGGAGCTTGTGACGTGTTATCAGTTTTCGTATCAGTTGGAGGTTTGTTTTGGGTGCTTTGAGAGATCAATGAGTCCTGTTGACGAGATGGTTGGAATGTTTGGGTTGGGCATTCGGGGTGTTGAGTCTGGAAAATGAAAAATAAGACATTTATAACTCTGGAAAATCAACTTTCTATGCCCTACACAAGAAGCAAAAAAGAAAAACCCCAGCGTGGATCGAACCTGCGACCTCTTGAGCCAAAGTCAAAAGCGTTACCTGCACACCATGTGGGCGCAGCGAGTAGGGTGCGGCGGAAAGCAGATATAAACGGGGAGGTGGTCCGCGTTGAGAGAGCGCAGACAAGCAGACAACCTTGCGTCTCTAGCCTAGAGACTTCTGGTGGGAAGAAAGAGATTTCAAACTTTGACCCCATATATCTCCAACATCGCTGGACCTACTTAAAAGTTGTCAACTAACAAAATGTGTGAAATTTTAAACCAAATATTTTATTAGTTGACTACTTTTTTCTATCTTTTTTGGTTTTTGAGATATTTTCGTTTTTCTAGACTGACCCGAATTCCTCTAAAATTTTTGATATCTAAAAAACTAGAAACGCTAGAAAAAAGTTATAAACTGGGAAAATAGAGGAAAATTCAAGACGAACCGTAAGAACAAGCTCTCGATAGCTCTCGCTTTTCCACAAATCCAAAAAGACCTTCTCGTTGGCGAGACCGGTCTCCATGAAACGGCTGCTCGAGACGAAGCGGGCGAAAAATTGATTGGCAGGGACGGATCCGAAGATACTTCTGAAAAAAAATAACGCTGAAAATGCGTCAAGGCACTAGGAATGCGCCAAGACACCAGGAATGCGCCAATGCACGAAAAATGCGCAAAGAAAAAAGAAAAAAAATGAGCTTGGCGCCCAAAGTGTTGGTTTTAGATTCCTATAGACATTTCTTGAGCTTGGACGTACTTCTCGTGCCTTGACGCACTTTTGGTGCCTTGACGCATCCTTGGCGCCTTTGCGCGTTTTTGGTGCATATACGCCAGCTTTGTTTCTAGGTTATTTTAGTATTCTTATTGTGACCCTAAGTATTAGTTTCCGATTCCTTGACGCATTTCTTGTGTCTTGACGCACTTCCGGTGACTTGACGCACTTTCGGTGCAAACACCCCAACTTCGCTTCTAGTAATCTTATCTCGGTCATCATTCTTATTGTTAGTTTCCGATTCCTTGGCGCACTTTCGGTGCCTTGTCGCAATTTTCGTGCCTTGACGCATTTTCCGTTCCTTGGCGCATTTTTCGAGCCTTTCCGCCCCAAACTCACTCCAAAATGTCATTTTTCGATGCACAAGAGTTGACATATTCCATTCGAACCTCTTCCAGTGTCATGCCAGCCTCCAGTGCAAGAATAACCGTCTCAATCGGTGTCAACATGCCCGTCTTCACCGCCGCCCGTCCTTTTATCAGCATTTTTCGCAATTTTCTCACTGTAGGATGCTTCTTTCGTGCCAGGACCCGTCGGGAGAGATGGTAGTTGAGCAGGAGGATGAGCAATGACAAAAATATCATTACCGATGAGAATGCGATTGATGTCTGGAACTTTTTTTTGGAATTTTTGAATTTTCAAAAATTCGAAAATTCAAATTCCCACCGTTTCGAAAATCTTCTGCTCTGTGACAGCTCTCGCTCCGCCTCCTTTTCCCTGCGTAATTGAGCTCATATCGATTTTTTTATTGATTTTTCGGAAATAAACATTTTCAGCATTTTTTGAAATTTTTCAATTTCAGTTGGAACTTTTTATGTGTCAAATTTTTTTATTTAATAAAATTGTGGAAAAAATGAATAACTTATATATTAGGACCCGTGAATCGATAATCGATAATTTCCGGCTAAAATCAATAAAATCACCGAATCTTTCGAATTTTTCCAGTTTTTTGGTCGGTTTTCAGTTTTATCCATTCTGGCGGGTAGAAATCGTCTTCGCGCATTTCTCGGAGCACCTGAAAATTTGAGGATTACTGTAGTTTTGACGCGTTTTTGGGTATATGGCACGAGAAATGCGCCAAGGCACTGAAATCGCGCCAGGCAACATTTCTAGGAGTTATTTGATACCGGCAACTGGAATTTCTCTCCTTGGCGCACTTCCCGTGCCTTGGCGCATTTTTGGGTACTTGGCACGAGAAATGCGTCAAGGCACTGGAAATGCGCCAAAACCACAAATTGGAGCCAGGCTACATATTTTTGAGTTAGTTGACCTAATTATCTCAAGTTTCTCCCTTTGACGCATTTTTCGTGCCTTGGCACATTTTTTGGGTGCATGGCACGAGAAATGCGTCAATGCAATGGAAATGAGCCAAGACTCTGAAATTGCGAGAGGATACATGTTTTCAGGTTCCTTGTCGAAATTACCTGAAGTTTAGCCCTTGACGCATTTTTAGTGCCTTGGCGCGTTTTGGACACCTGGCACCAGAAATGCGCCAACGCACCAAATCGATGTTAGGCAACACGTTTTCGAGTCAGATGACACCGACAAATAAAGTTTCATCCCTCGTCGCATTTTTCGTATCTTGACGCATTTCCCGTGCCTTGACGCATTTCTCGTGCCCCGCCTACCGTACCCCATCTTTCGACTCCGTTATATCCCGATAATACGCTTGCGATTTCCTTTTCGATAAATACGACAACCACCATCCAAAAGTGGAAGATGGAGCTAAAATTTTGGATTACTGTAGATTTTTTATTACGGATTACTGTACCTGTAATTAGTGTGACGTCACAGAAAAGTCTAGAAAATGCCAAATCGATTTCTGGTGTCAGCGTTGGTGTCAAAACCGTCTGAAATCAAAATTCTCCTGTTTGAGCACTTTCGGTGCGTTGACGCATTTCCCGTGCCTACCGTATACTTTGGCGATGCTTCAGGTAAACTGTAGTTGTAGGCGTTAGTCGTTGCTTTTTGTAGGAATGCGTGGTTTTCGGTGCGGTCTAGAAGCATGAAATGTGTCAAGGCACGAGAAACGCGTCAAGATATTTTCCTTGGCGCTTTTCCGGATACCTTCGAAAACGGCTTTCGCGAAATGAATATCGTTGCCCAACACCACTACAGTAACCCGCCGACGAGATTTTTTATCTGAAATTTTTTGAAAATTGTTTAGTACGATGCTCCGCGTGTTCCGCCTACAGTAATCCACTAAGAAGTCGGTGGCCGATCGGGTAAACGTGGCATCGGATGGTTGATGGACACCATCGTACTGAAAGTCTCCACGGCGGATGTGCGTGCAGATTCTGAACAAAAAAGTGTACGAAAAATGCGCCAGGGCACTGAAAATGCGTCAAGGCACGAAAAATGCGTCAATGCACTAGATAGGCATCATTGTAACAAAAGATGGGCTAGTACACTGAATATGCATCAAGGCACAGAAAATGCGCAAAGAGAACGAGTTTTGTGTCAAGGCACTAGAAATACTCAAGTCAAGTAGCAGAATATGAGTCAGGGCACTAGAATTGCGCCAAGTCACTGAAAATACGCCAAGGCACTTAATATGAGTCAAAGCATTAGAAATGCGCCAAGGCACTAGGAATGCATCGAGGAAGTGAACCTTGCGCATTTTTCGTGATTTTACCCAAAACTAGTGCATTCACGTTGCCTTGGCGCAATTCTTGTGCCTTGACGCAATTCTCGCGCATTGACTCAAAACCCATTCTCTTTGCCCAAAACTTGTGCTTCAACGAAAGTTAGACGCCTTGACGCATTTTTTGTGCGTTGACGCAATTCTCGTGCCTTGGTGCGATTCTTGTGCCTTGACCCGAAACTTCTTTTCTTGGCGCAATTTGCGTGTCTCGATCCGAAACTTGTGCCTTGACGAAGTTTAGACATCTTGACGCACTTCTCGTGCCTTGACGCAATTATCGTGCCTTGACACAAAACTTGTGCCTTGACGCATTTTCCGTGCTTTGACCCAAAACATGTGCCTTGACGCATTTCTCGTTCGTTGACGCAATTCTCGTGCCCAGAACCCAAAAACTTACATAAAATCGTTCCTATATTTCGTGGGCAACAAAATTTCCGCTCTAACGGCTGTCAACTTGCTTGGCGCCAATAATTCTCGAATTTTCGGCCGAATGTGATGGAAATATTTGAAACTCTGAAAACTCAAAATTATCGATTTTTCAGCAAATTGTCAGATTCACCTGAAAATAATGTCCATCAAGCATTAAATGTGTTTCTGACAGATTTTCAAACTTTTTCGGGTCGTCAAATCGACAGCACGCTCCCCAATTCGTGTGTTTATGGACTACGGTACCTGGCTGAAACGGGAAATTCGCAAAGGCACCAAAAGTGCGTCAAGGACACCAAAAAATCGTCAAGGGACAATTACCATCACCAAATACATATCTTCTGGTATCCTTGGCGCGCTTTTCGTGCATTGGCGCACTTTTTGTGCCGTTGAACACGCGGACGGAAAACGCGCCAAGGATCGAGAAATGCGCCAGTAAATTGGTTTTTTGACTTACCGGAATAATTTTTAGGTCAAATTCCTCCACTAATTTTGGGAAAATTGGCTGAATACTTTTTGATAAAACATTTATATAATCAGAATTTGTTGCATTTATCACTGGTGTCCTTTGAAGGGTATCAGCGATTCCGAGGAGAGATATGATCTCGAAAAGCTTGTTTCCTGCAAGAAAATCGTTTGTTGACGCATTTTTGGTGCCCTTGGCGCATTTTTGGTGCCAATACTCTAACTATGTTTCTAATAACCTTATTATGACCATAAGACTTAGTTTTTAACTCGTTGGGGCCTTTATCGTTCCCTTGGCGCACTTTCCGTGCCTTGGCGCATTTTTGGTGCAGGTGCCCTAGCACAGAATCTGGACCCTTATTAATGGTTATTAAGCATCGAATCTATATTTTGATATCTTGGCGTATTTTCGGGGTCTTTGACGCACTTTCCGTGGCTTGGCGCATTTTCGGTGCAGATATGGAAACTGGGCTTCTATCAATGATGATTAAGAATCGGATCTTTATTGTGAGCGTATCTGGTGCCCTTGGCGCACTTTCCGTGCCTTGACGCATTTTTGGTGCAGATACTACAGAACCGTTCCTGGGCTCCTACGATGGTTACCAAGCATCATATCTATATTTTGAGTCTAGGCGCACTTTTGGTGCAGATACTCTCGCACGGAATCTGGACTCCTATCAATGGTTATTAGACATCCAATCTGTATTTTGGTTTCTTGGCGCTTTTTGGTGCCCTTGGCGCACTTTCGGTGCCTTGGCGCACTTTTCGTGCCTTGACGCATTACTCGTCACTCACCTAAACCGGCAGTTGGAAAGGCAAAAAGCATAGTTTGTAGTGTTTTTTCGTGATTTTTCGGGATTTTTCGCTGTTCCTTTTCCTCTAACTCCAAAAAGTGTCGATTTTCGATGAAATTCAACAAATGATCGGCATCAATTTCACATTTCGGTACCGTATCCCGCTGGATATTGGACATTTGAATTTTTTGAAGATATTCAAAAAGATTAGTTCCAATGTTCAGCTTTACGATTACATAAATATTGGCTAGGATTCCTGAAAATTTTGAATTTTTTTTGAAATTTTTTTTTTCAAAATGTTAATTACCAATAATTAGTCCATAATTATATACGAATTTCGGAAAACTCACCAAAAATCAAACAAAAAACCATGACATAATGATTGACTCGCATTGTGATTTTTTTGTTTCAAAATTAATTCATTAATTGACTAATTAAGATAGATAATTGGGAATTCAGTTTCTGAAATAGTAATAATATAGTATCGAAAAAAAAGCAATATTTCGAATAAATATATACAGAAAAAGAAGAGATTTTGGGGGAATTTCGGGGAGATGAGCAATTGTTTAATTAGCTGGAAAATAATGAACATTTTAGGATTTGTGTAGTGTAAAACTGAGAGAAAAAGATGAAATGAAATTTATCTAATGGGAATCTAAAATTATTTTTTTAAATTTTTGAAAAAAAATTCGAAAAAATTTTTTTTTTTTTTTTAATTTTTTTTTCGAAAATTGTTAATTAATTGATTCTTTAATTAGTCCCAAGGCATTGTTTGGTTATAAAACTATCTTGTTCAATATAGGCCACTCCCCTTTTTAAAAAAAGTAACTTCAAATTAATTAATTTTAACTTTTTTAAAATTAATTAATTTCAAAGTTATAAATATAATTTTAATTAATAATTATAATTTTTTTAGTAATTATAATTTTAATTAAAACTAAATTCAAAGTCAAATCAGTTTTTTTTAATTAGCGGGAATTGGAAAAAAATTTTCAGAAACATTTTTTTTTCAAATTTCAAAATTAAAAAAAATTTTTTTTTTTGGAATTTTGTTTCCCAGAAAAAATTATGCGAAAAATCGTATTCAGATGAAACTAGAAACTTTAATATGCAACTAGAATATTCAAAAAACTACAGTAATCCCTCAAAAAATTAGTCAATTGGTCGGAAAATGATGAAAATGAGGCTAGTTGAAGTTTCTACTGAGGCTTATGAACTACAAACTACAAAAAGTCCTAAGCCTCAGTAAAAATTTGAAATCCTCATAACTCGGCTCATCTTCCACCGATTTCCATGATCTTTATATGAAAAATTAATAAAGACTACAAACTACACAAACTGGTAAGCCTCAGTAAAGAGGAAAGAGGCAGAAGACAAACTGAAACTCTCAAAGACAATGGGAAACCTAGCAAAAATTCGTCCGTTTCAATCCAAGAAAAAAAGTGTCTATCTCTGAAACTAAGCGAGTTACAGCAAAAGTTCAGTGGAGCGCACTTGCAATCATCTCGAAATTTTTTGATATTAGGTTTGATCTCGATTAAATCGATAATTTAAAATCGATTGCGATTAAAATAAAATGTCTATCTCTAAAACTGAGCAAGTTACGGCAAAAGTTCAGTGGAGCGCACTTGCAGTCAAATTCAAAAAAGTTGAGTTTATATTTAATTTCGACTAAATCGATAGTTTCAAATCGATTCCAATCGAAATAAAATGCCTATCTCTAAAACTGAGGGAGTTACAGGGAAAGTTCTGTGGAGCGCACTTACGATTTGAGAAAAGTTCCAATTTTTTCTAGTTTTTAAGCAAAAACTTTCCCCTATTTGGTTATTTTGGTTCTATTGAAAAAAATCCTTCAAAATCTACATAATAATATGGATGGGGGGGGGGATGGTTATATAGTATATTTTCTGAGTAAACAAAACAACCTTTGGTCAAAAATTTGAAAAAAAAAATGTTTGGATTTTTTTTTTTTGTAAAAATCTTATTCAAATGAAACTAGAAACCGTTTCTTCGTATCAGTTTGACTAGAAAACTCAAAAAAATACGGTAATCCCATAAAAAAAATTTTTGCGAAAAATTTTTTTTTCGAATTTTTATTTTTTTTCTCCAAAACGAAATTTCAAGTACTCAAGAAGAAAAAAAGTTGCCACCGGAAATGTGAGTGCTTTTCCTCCTGGAATTATATTTTTTTTTCAAAAATTTTCAAAAAAAAAATTTTTTTTTTTGAAATTTTAATTTTTTCCATTTTTTTTCCTTTTTCCCCCATCAATTATTCAAATTTGACCTCAAAGAAATTTGTTTGTAGTTTATAGTCAAGAACAACGAAAAAAAAAATTTATTCTTAATTTTTTTCTCCAGACAAGTAGTAAAACAAAAAATTTAAAAAATTGCTAATAGAGAGAAACTACAAACTACAAAAAATGCGCAAAATTGTTCAACTTAAAAAAATATGATGCGAAAAAGATCAGAATGAAAAAGTGAATAAGAATACTGTAAGGAAACAGAGGGAAAACAGAGAAAAATTCAACAATGCATACTACAAACTACAAAAATTGTAAGCCTCAGTAAAAATTGAAAAATCACCATAACTCGGCTCAAAATCAACCGATTTCGATGATCTTTGGATGGAAAAAAGGGAATTTTCAGGAGACTACAAACTACAGAAATTGTTAAGCCTCAGTACAAGCTCAAACAGCTCCAAAATAGCTGGTTGAGAAGTGATTGGGATAGAGAGAGGTGATGTCAGAGGCGACGACAGTGATGTATGGATATTTACGGGTTATATTTTTCAGGCCAGTTGGGGAAATGAATAGGGACACCAGATAAATGTTTTCATCCGGGACACGAGCCTCTTTCAGCACTTCGATCGCTTTGCACACCGTTGTTCCGGATCTGAAAACAAATTGTTTTGATTTTTAAAATTTTTTTTTCTTACTGAGGCTTAAACACTACAAAATGAAAAAAAATCAGAAAAATGACCAATTTTGAGTAAAAACCGTCAAAAACCAATCAAACAGAGAGCCAAGTTGAAAAGTACTGAGGCTTAGAAAAAATGTAGTTTGTAGTTTCTGAGCCTCAGTAAAAGTGGAGGCCGGTTTTACTGAGGCTTAGAAATTTCTGTAGTTTGTAGCCTGTCAGTAAAGCTACATCATGCAAGTGGAATGTGGCTTCTCTAAGGCTCAGCGACTACAAACTACAGAAATTTCTAAGCCTCAGCAAAAACCTCGCCTTGTCTCATTTTCACTCATTCTTGCCTCAAAATTTGTTAAATTTTCACTATTTTTATGTTTTCCAATTTTTACTGAGGCTTAGAGACTACAATTTACAAAACACCGAGAAAAAATGCTAAAATATTGGGGCAAAACCCCCATCAAAAATCAATAAAAGTTGTTTTTACTGAGGCTTAGAAACATTTTGTAGTTTGTAGTCTCTACATCATCCAAGTGGAATGTGGCTTGACTGAGACTAAGCGACTACAAACTACAGAGTTTTCTAAGCCTCAGTAAATCCCCACAGCCGACGGATATCCCATTTTTGGCTCAAAATTAGTCAAATTTTCTCAAATTTTTGGGGTTTTTTGTAGTTTGTAGTCTTCAAACTCACCCTATCGTTGGATACAGCAACAAGACGCGTCTCGATTGAATGTCGGGAAGAAGGCGCGCGTAGAGCACTTTTTGTTCGTCGCCTGGAAAATTAGAGTCAAGAAATCTTGAGAAAATCGAAAATTTTCAGGCATTCTTAAGCGAATTTTCGAGTCAATTTTCGATCATTTTTAGGCGAAATTTCAGATTTTGGAGGAAATTAATTTTTACACATTCTTCATACTTCCAGACTAGATTAGAGTCATTTTTCTCGATTTTTCAGCGTTTTCGACCTAATTCATAGCAATTTTTAGACCTTTGACGCGATTTAACCTAATAATTCAGTAGGATTTAGGATTTCGACGTCTTCTGAATTCAGAATAAGAAAATTCTTCAAACTAGGTTGATATGGGTATCAAAATGACGGAAATCACACGGGAAAAAAAGATTGACGACGTGAAAATCGATGAAGTTGAGTTTTCAGAATTCAGAAAGAGACCTAATTTAGAAGCTGAATTGTTTTTTTGTGCTGAAATAAATGTTGTTTTTCTATTGATTTTCAGGGGTATTCGGAACGGAATTCCGAATTCTCCTCGAAATTTCAGCATTTTTGAATTGAAAAATGCAATTTCACAGAATTTTTCGACCCAACCATTTTTTTTTTCGAATTTCAGATTATTTTTCGTCGATGTTTCACAGTTCTAGACTAAATTAATGTCTTTTCTTCTCGATTTTTCATCATTTTCCCTTCGAAAGACCGCATTTTCGCGTACCAATCAAGATCTTTCCAATACGAATACACCGACAGCACTGTCGCAACGAAACTTCCATCGCTTCGCCACTTCGACACAGCGAGACGCCACAATTGCCACGATTGAACTGTATTCCTTCATATCGGAAACCGGTGGGCGTGGTTACTGTATGTTCGGTGAACGGGAGGTGGTTGAGACACTCTTCGATCACTAGACGCATCAAGCGATCCGCGTTGAACACGAAATCCGAGTGATTTGTGGTTCTGGAAGACGCCAATTGTAGTTTGTAGTCAAAACCCCCAGAAATTTCGACAAATTTCGAGCTAAAAACCGTTTTTACTTAGGTTTATTCATATTTGTAGTTTGTAGTGTCTTAAAGCGACTACAAACTACAAAAAACAAATTTCGTAGTTTGTAGTCTGTGAGCCTCAGTAAAACCATCAAAAATTTTTACTGAGACTAAGCGACTACAAAAAAAGCTGATGAATTTTGAGTCAAAAATGGTCGAAACCCGATGAAAATGAGCCGTGTTACGGGGATTTTGAATTTTACTGAGGCTTAGACTACAAACTACAAAAATTTCTTAAGCCTCAGTAAATCCACACTGCCGAGGAAACTGTTTTTTTTCACACTGTTTTACTGAGGCTAAACAAAGTTCGTAGTTTGTAGTGTATTAGTCTCACATCAGTAAACGCGCATGTTGTTTTACTGAGGCTTAGACTACAAACTACAAAATTTCTTAGCCTCAGTAAAATTCAAAATCCTTGTAACTTGGCTCATTTTCACCCGTTTTTGCCCATTTTTTGTAGTTTGTAGCCCCAGGAAACTACAAACTACGTTTTTAATCGATTTTCTGCGTACCTATCCTTGAGAATTGTCTGCAGTTCCAAAATTTGCGGTGTCTTTTGCAACAAAACGAAATTCGTCCCCTTTTCCTGAAGATCCGTAATCAACTGCCCGACGCCTTCTTCCTCATCACCGACACGTGGCAACGACGACATCTGGGAATTCGCTGGAGTCGTTGTTCCGTTTACAGCCATTACAAAGAGCACAGCTGTTCAAATGTCCCCTTTTTCTCAATATTTGCTCATTTCGGCAAACCCTTCTCTCAACATATATGTTCAAAAGTGTTTCACAACTTTCATTCTCATTTATACAGAGCAGGATAAAAGGGATAGAGTTAGTCTCTCACAAAAACCTTCATATATTACAAGAGTTTATTGTGATAAAACTGCGAAAATAAATACGGGGGGAAAGTGTGTTGAAAGTGATGGAAAAGAGAACGGGGTCAGCAGTTTTATTGAAAGTGGCGGAGTTGGTGATCGTTTAGTACTCCTCTCCCTCTTCCTCTCCTCCCTCGTTAGAGTCGGCTCCGACCTCCTCGTAGTCCTTCTCAAGAGCGGCCAAGTCCTCACGAGCCTCGGTGAACTCTCCTTCCTCCATTCCTTCTCCGACGTACCTGGAAAAATAATGGGAAATTCGTTAGGTCTTCCGAGGATATTCCAGGTAACTCACCAGTGAACGAAGGCACGCTTGGCGTACATCAAGTCGAACTTGTAGTCCAAACGAGACCAGGCCTCAGCGATGGCGGTGGTGTTGGAGAGCATGCAGACGGCGCGTGGCACCTTAGCAAGATCACCTCCTGGCACAACGGTTGGTGGCTGGTAGTTGATTCCGACCTTGAATCCGGTTGGGCACCAATCGACGAATTGGATGGTTCTCTTGGTCTTGATGGCGGCGATGGCGGTGTTGACGTCCTTTGGCACAACGTCTCCACGGTACAACAAGCAAACGGCCATGTACTTTCCGTGGCGTGGATCGCACTTGACCATCTGGTTGGCTGGCTCGAAGCAGCTGTTGGTGATGTCGCTGACAGAAAGCGCCTCGTGGTAAGCCTTCTCGGCAGAGATGAGTGGAGTGTAGGCAGCGAGTGGGAAGTGAATTCTTGGGTATGGCACCAAGTTGGTCTGGAACTCGTTGAGGTCGACGTTCAAGGCTCCGTCAAATCTCAGGGAGGCGGTGATGGAGGAGACGACCTGTGAAACATTATTAAATTATTGAAAAAGACAAAAACTATCTCACCTGGGAGATAATTCTATTCAAGTTGGTGTAGCTCGGGCGTTCAACATCCAAGTTTCTGCGGCAGATATCGTAGATAGCCTCGTTATCAACCATGAATGCGCAGTCGGAGTGCTCCAAGGTGGTATGTGTGGTGAGGATGGAGTTGTATGGCTCAACAACGGCGGTTGAGACCTGTGGAGCTGGGTAGATCGAGAACTCGAGCTTCGACTTCTTTCCGTAGTCAACAGAAAGACGCTCCATGAGAAGGGAAGTGAATCCGGATCCAGTTCCTCCTCCGAACGAGTGGAACACGAAGAATCCTTGGAGTCCACTGCAGTTGTCAGCCAAACGGCGGATTCTGTCCAAGACGGTGTCGATGAGCTCCTTTCCGACGGTGTAGTGTCCACGGGCGTAGTTGTTGGCGGCGTCCTCCTTTCCGGTGATCATCTGCTCTGGATGGAACAACTTCTTGTAGGTTCCAGTGCGAATCTCATCGACGACAGTTGGCTCGAGATCGACGAAGATGGATCTTGGCACGTAGCGGCCGTTTCCGGTGTCTGAGAAGAAGGTGGTGAAGGACTCGCCCTCGTTGGTGGACTGGGTTGGCATGGTTCCATCGGGCTGGATTCCGTGCTCGAGGCAGTAGAGCTCCCAGCACGCGTTTCCGATTTGGACTCCGGCTTGTCCGACGTGGATGGAGATGACCTCACGCATTCTTCTCTGGAAAATAGGTTAGATTAGGAGGTTTCTGGGTGAGAATCAATTTCGCAAGAAGAGAGAGAACAATTTTAAAGAGAAGGAAAATGACGAAATTCTATTGGCGGGCTTAGAGGAGAGGGGGTAATACTCCTATGGTAGAAGGGAGAAGAACGCAATGGAAAATGAGGAGAATAGGACAAAAAAACGGGCTGTGTGTGTGTGCGCCGGCGGCGTGTCTCCGCTCTGTGTACGAAGGGAAGAAGGACAACACACAGCAGCGGTCAGTGCGACGGGGCCAACTCATCGATCGAATTTTCGCTAGAGAAATAGTGTTGCGCCAGTGGGAGAGTGCGGATTGAAATGAATGCAAAAAGCCAGTGCAGGGGGAGCCAGCGAGGTGGAACTGGAGGCCCCGAGAGAGCGAGAGAGAAGAGACAAAGAACAGAGAGCAGAAAATGAGAAATTTCGCAATGTTTCCCTCCTAAAAAGTTAACTTACTAAATTTTCAGGTGGTACAAAACCGTAAAGATGTCTTGTTATTCGCGATGAACAAAAACTGACTAGAATTCTTGCTGCCGCTCAATTTTTGCCAAAAGTTCCAAACAAGCTGACCCGGTTTCAAGGGCGTGGGTGAAACACACGCAAACAGCGCCTAAAATTGACTGCGAACATGATAAACATGATAAGAGAACCTGGAATTTTTGATAAGAAACAAAAATTTAGGTGCTTTCAGAAACACTGAATTTGAGTCATCAAAATGGAGAAAATTGAAACAAAAATTTGGTTTTTCGCGCCAGTGAAAAGGGGGCGGAGCCTATTTGCTATACGACCTGCACATCTAAGTCAGCGGCGCGCGATTTGAAATTTGAACTTTAGGAATTGAGCTGGATTTTCGAAGTTTCTCGAATGAATTTTTTGCTGGAATTTCAGAAAAATAGGAGAAATTGATGCCTAAAATTTAGCTTTCAAAATTTCCAGCTAATTTTTGCAATTTTTAGACCTGAATTTAAGAAAAAAAAACGGGAATCGATAGGTTTATATTTGGAAATTATAAAACAAGGTGCGGAGGCTCGAGAAACCGAGTAAAACTTGAAAACACCAAAACGGAAAAAGAATAGGGAAAGAAGAAATAAATAAATATTGGAAAAATCAAAGTACACACACACAAAGAATTTAGTGAGAAAGGTCCATAGACTCGACGACGTCGTACTTGATGGTCTTATGCTTCAACACCTTCGTGGCACCGGCTTGGAACTTGTAGGCGAGGTCGTTTGGCTCTGGTCGTTTGCAGAATTCTGGCACAATTGGTCCCTTGAACACCGTCTCGTTTGGTTCAATGATCACAAGATTCAGACTGTTTCCAGAGGCGTTGTCTCCGTGCATACCGGCTTCCAGGGCGCGTTGTACAAGCTTCTCGGCCTCTTCTTTCTGAAAAATTGTATTTTTTGAGCAAAAAATCCTCAAAAACGGGTGAAAATGAGCAAAGTTAAAGGAAATTTAAATTTTACTGAGACTTAGCAATTTTTGTAGTTTGTAGTCTAAGCCTCATTAAAACTTCCAAGCGCTGTAACTTGGCTCATTTTTTACCGTTTTCAACTACTTTCGGCTCCCAAAACAGAAAAAAATAAGCGAAGTTACAGGAGACTACAAGCTACAAAAATTTCTAACTTCTTCTCTACTATAACAATATGGTTTTCAATGCTATATTTCGGAATTTTGGCCTAAAACTATCAAAATTGGGTTTTTACCGTCATGTCAGTCTTGAAATCACGCTCCAAAATAGTGATAGCAGCGTACGATCCAGATCCTTGAGCGGTGAATGGGAAAGCCATAGTAGTTCCATTAGCGGAGCACATATAAAGATGTGGTCCAGTTGGATCGACTCCTCCAATCAACAAATATGCTCCAATGTATCCCTGATAGTTGAAAAGATGCTGTTTCGCCTGACGGAGAGCCGTGATCACACGAGCCTTGCGTCCAGTGTTCAATTCCAACAAACGAAGATTTCCAGATAGCATCTTGGTGACCTGATCGAGATCTGCGGCTGTTCCGGCTCCACAAGCATAGATGGACTCGGTGAGCTTGTGAACCTTCTCACAGTGCTTATCAGCGATGATGTTTCCGGCGGTGGCTCGAGAGTCGGCTCCCATCACGAGTCCTCCTTTGTAGGCGACGGCAACGATTGTGGTACCGGTGCTGGTCAATTTTGGAGCCTTTGCGCCCAACTTGCACATCGCTTGATTGCGAATACAGTTGGAAAAGTCGAACGCACCTCCACGATCCATATCCATGTGTGGAACGGTGTTTTTCACATCGGCGGAAGCCATTTTTAGTCTGAAATGCTCTTAGAATTGATTTTTGACAAAATTATAGCAAAAAATCTGCGAAAACCATGCGAAAAAAGCTAAAAATCCTGAAAAATGAGCGAAATGCTGACAAAAAATTTTTGAAGTCACCACAAACGACACTCCGATATCCCGCTTCGCTAGGGCGCGTTTGCACACAACCCAATTATTTTTTCGTTGGCGGAATTTTACTATTTGACCCCTAAAACTCAAATTTTAAAAGGTTTCCAAAGATTTTTGTGGTTTTAAAGCTAATTTTTTGGAATTCCGACAAGATTTTGAGTAGAAAAATGCTATATTCCTAGGCGAAATGTGATTTTTTAATGTTGTTCAATATTGCACAACATCTTGTTTTTTTTCTCTGTCCGCTCTCTCGTCATTTTCCGATTTTTAAAAGTGGTTAGGTAATCAAATAGGCAGATTTCGTCAATTTTTAAACAGATTTTTTGAATTTTTCTCAATTTCTTCCGAAAATTTTCTCATTTTTCGAATTTTCCAGCTCTCCCAAACTCTCACCATGGCTCTGCGTGTCGATTACGAAGGATCCAACGACGTCGGCGTCTTCTGTACGCTCACCAACAGCTACTGTCTGGTCGGCATCGGCGGAACTCAGAATTTCTACAGTACACTGGAGGCGGAGCTCAGCGACCTGATTCCAGTCGTTCACACCTCTATCAACTCGACCAGAATCGTCGGAAGACTCACTGTTGGTTAGTTTTAGGCCTTTAGACGAGTTTTAGGTCCAAAAATAGTTTGAAAATCCGAAACCCTTTCTAGTCCTCAGGTTTAGAACTTTAGACATGTTTCTGATTTAAAATTAGCTCAAAATTCCGAAAAAAAACTCCCGCTAGATCCTGACAAAGCGATCTTTTCACCTAGAATTACCTTGTAATCTGAAAATCGTCAAAATCCCCCTTTTTCAGGAAACCGTCACGGCCTTCTCGTCCCAAACGCCACTACAGACCAAGAACTCCAACATCTCCGAAACTCTCTCCCAGACGAGGTCGCCATCCGACGTGTCGATGAGCGTCTCTCCGCTTTGGGCAACGTCATCGCATGCAACGACCACGTGGCAATTGTTCATGCAGAAATCAGTGCAGAGACTGAGCAGGTTAGCACTAGAACTTACAGTTTCTAGGTCATTTTAACCATTTCAGGAGTCTAGAGCTCTTCTGTCAAGTTTCCGATCACTACGAAAATTTTGGAGGGTCTAAAACATACTTAGATGGGCAAACTTTGCATTTGCAGCATGTTTTGAAAATTCTTTTTTTTCTGAAATATCCCTTTTTGGCAAGTTTTCGTGCGGAACGGGCCGAAAATGGATGTCGGCAATTAGTTGAAAAACTAGTAATTTTCAAGAAATTCTGTGAATGCGAACTTTTCAATTTATATCTGTTTTACACCCTACAAAATTTTCAAAGTGATCGGAGACTTGATAGCCGAGCTCCAGACTCTTGAAATTGATCAGAATCCAGTGTAACTACAGTAACTACAATGACTACAAACTACAAATTGTTTCCAGGCTCTCGTTGAAGTGCTGAAAGTGGAGGTATTCCGTGTGTCCCTCGCTCAAAACTCTCTCGTCGGCAGTTACTGTGCTCTCAGCTCGAACGGATGTCTTGTGGCCGCCCGTACTCCACCAGAGACCCAAAGAGAACTCGCCGCACTTCTTCAAATTCCAGTTGTGGCTGGAACCGTTAATCGAGGATCCGAGCTGATTGGCGCTGGAATGGTCGTCAATGATTGGGTGGCATTCTGTGGGCTGGACTCCACTTCTACCGAACTGTCCGTTGTTGAGTCGATTTTCAAGCTCGGCGAGCAAGGAGCACCAACGAGCATCAGCAATCAATTGAGAGATACACTCATCGAGAGCATGCTTTAATTCTCTCTTTTTTATCTTTTTTTTTTTGAGGGAATTTGGGTCTTGTTGGATAATTAGCTAGAAATCTGCTAAAATTGGCTTCTTTTTCTGAAAATTTTGGTTCTAAAATCACTGTTGAATCCGAAATTTTGATTTGCTATTTTCAAATTTTTTCGGGATATTCCAGTAGATTTCTGGCTAAATATTCATCAACGACTCCATTCTCCTCCCTTTTGACTTGTTTTTTGTTGAATTTTCCCCAATTTTTTACTTCCAAAACCCCCTCCCATCACTTGTTCTCTCCGCCTTGTTTCCTCAATGAAAACCCCCGAAAAATCCTCGAAAATGTCGAATTTTGGGTTATTTTTTGGGTCAAAAACCTCCGAATTTCTCTATTTTTTGGTCCAAATTGATTTTCTAGTTCTATAAAAATTCCCAGGTTCCCATCAATCACTAATCCTGATCTTCCGACTATAATTAGGTGAGTCCAATGTAGGCTGAAGAGACGCAGAGAAAAGAAAATCACGTTCTCTAAAAGACTTTTGGCTACAATATAGTGATAAGAAGAAGAAAACGGATGGGTGGTGTTATCAGTAATACCCTTTAGACCCTCTTTCGAAGAGGTTTTTTTTTCACTTTTATGCACTTTTTCCCATTTTTTCCAGTTTTATTTTATTTCTTTTTCTTATTTTTTGATGCTTGATAACCTAGATTTTGAGTCGTTTCTAAATTCCAGTTGACTAATTTTGACTATAAAATTGTAGTTTGTAGCGTAGTTCCAAAAATTCGACATTTTTTGAGCTGAAAATCATCAAAAACGGATGAAAAAGAGCCAAGTTACAGCGTTTTCAAATTTTCCTGAGGCTTAGGACTTTTTTGTAGTTTGTAGTCTAAGCCTCAGTAAAATTTTCCGCGAGGCAAGAGCGAGAGTTTCACTGAGGCTCAGGAATTTTTGTAGTTTGTAGTCTAAGCCTCAGTAAAAACTTCTAACTCTGCCACACCGGTATTTTTACTGAGGCTAAAACTACAAACTACACACATTTCTAAGCCTCAGTAAAAATTCGAATCGCTGCAAATCAAAATTTGCCTATTTTTTCGTAGTTTGTAGTCTCTCACTACTCTTACTACAAACTACACAATTTCTAAAGCTTAAAATCTCGTATTTTCGCTCGATTTTCCAGTTTTTTCTCCAAAAATGTGCAAAATTCTCAGAAAAATGGTGAACTCAACAACACTGGCCCATCTCAACACCAATATTGATCATTTGTCTACAGTACTATCGTCATACGCCGGAAGAGACAAAGCGATTCGTTCCCTGGCCTTCTACCTGCAACTACGCTCCACGACGTCTTCAGAATCCTCCAAAGAGATTCTGGCACTTGCCAAGCAACTAAGTGCCGCCCGTCTTGTATCCAGACAGTTCAATCATCCATCTATGCTGAAGTCCTGCAGGCAAATTTGGCAAGCGTTTGATTCTGGCCGAATTGGGGACCCATTGGAATTTTTCACTGGCGCAGCGGTGACAGGAATCTATACAGTTTATGGAGTCGTTGAGTTGCTGGCGTGGTTAAGTGACGCCAAATTGCTGGGATTTGAGTCTGCTAGGCTCTACAAATGGTGTCTATATCTTTGGTTATCAGCACTTATCAATGGAATTATCCGGCAGATTCGGATAATTTATCGAAAAGGAATCGAGAAATCGCAGGAGGATGTTTTGACGCTAATCGGGTTGTCTTCTGACTTTATCAGTGGCTTGAACGGTCTACCACATAAGTTCTTGTGGGCCGGAAAGCTTTCAATGCGACAGAGCGCCACGTTTTCGCTGTTGGCCTCGATTATTGGATTTCATAAATTATGGTAGGAAATTAGAGAGGAAATCTGCTAAAAACCGGAAAAATAACGAAATTCTAGCGAAAAACGGCTGAAAACGGATGAGAAATCACCGAGTTAGAGCGATTATTTCAATTTTACTGAGACTAAGACTACAAACTACAAAATTGTCCTAAGCCTCAGTAAAAGTTTGAAACCGTTTTATTTGGACGATTTTCGGTTGAAACACTAGTCCAATTTCAGACATTCTAGCCGAAAATGGCTTTAAAATCTTCAAAAATAACCAAGATAGAGTGATTTTAAACTTTACTGAGGCTTACGCTACAAACTGCAAAATTGTCCTAAGCCTCAGGAAATTTTTGTTTTCGATTTTTTTGCAATTTTTGCGAAACCGTCTCTATTTGTTCAGCCCAAAAATTCTACTTCTTCTCAAATTTCCGGTTTTCTAGTAGCCTATTCCTCTATTTCCCTCCATATCGCTTCATTCAGATTACTGTATCTTTCCATAGACACAATTTCTCATTTTTCCCGCTTTTTTTCTGTCAAAATTCCCCATTTTTCCGCTTCCAGCCATCTCCGGGTCGCATCATTTTCCGTCTTTTCTGATCATTTTTTTAAATCAATAAATCACTTGTTATCAGTCAGAAACAATGTTGATGATGCCTGAATAAAAGTAATACATCTAATGTATATGCGGGGGTGTATGAACAGAAAAAAACGGTTTTTACATATTTATAATGGTTTTTTGTTGCTTTTTGTGAAGGAAAAAAGCAAAAAAAGAAAGAAAGAGAGAGAGAGAGATAGAGAGACGCAGAGAAAACAAAAGGGGAACGTGGCAAAACGCGGCAGCAGCAGCCGTCTCGTGGCCTATATAAAACTTGCGACGGAATAGAGAAGACAAGGACACCTTGTCTCTATTATCCCTTTCCTTTCTATTTTCCTTTGTTTGGATGTTCTAGTCAAATTGATAGCATTCCTGATAGTGATTAGAATAGAAAAAGAGACATTTTACGCTAAAAATCGTTGAAAACGGTTGTAAATAAGCCAAGTTACCGTGATTTCAAGTTTTACTGAGGCTTAGAGACTGCAAACTACAGAAATTCGTAAGCCTCAGTAAAAATTTTTGAAGCGCTCCAACTCGCCTCATTTTCATTTATTTTCTGACATTTTAGGCTCAAATTCAACTTGGAAAATTTGTAGCTTGTAGTGTAAGCCTCAGTAAGGCGATTTTCACCAAAGTTGTAGTGGTTTTTTGCCAGCTCTTTATGATTTTTCGATTTTCCTGTAGTTTGTGGTCATTGTGATTGAAATATATATTTCCAGACATTTCTAGCCAAAAACGGCTGAAAAAACTTCGAAAATGAGGCTGAGGCTTAGACTACAAACTACAAACTTGACCGAAGCCTCAGTAAAACTTCAAAACCATCTAAATCGTCGAATTTTCAATAATTTTCGGATATTTTTGGCTCAAATTCCATTAGAAAGTTTAGTAGTTTGTAGTGTAAGCCTCAGAAAGAGGATTTTTACGGAGCGTTTAGCGGGTCTTCCTATTTTTCGTTGTTTTTCTGTAGTTTGTAGTCGTTCTGGTCAGAAAAAAGTGCTTGACGCATTTTTGATATTTATAGACAATTTAAGACATTTCTAGCCAAAAACGGCTGGAAATGCTTCAAAAATCGCCAAGTTACAGCGATTTCCAATTTTACTGAGGCTTCGACTACAAAGTACAAAAATTCCTAAGCCTCAGGAATAATCAAAGTTCTCTATTTTTGCTAAATTTTTTAAATTTGAAAATTCGTTTTTTAAAAGACTACAAACTACAAATGCGATCGAAAAACTTGTTTCATTGATCAAAATGTGTTTTCCTACGAACTTTTGATCAGAAATTTGCAAGAAAAGAGATCAAAAAAGGACACGAAGTCTCAGAAAAGATCATAAAGGTCATTGGGTTCGTCTATCGTCGGGAGGACAGAAAAATGGGCGTTGATCGCTAAAATTAACGATATAAAAAGGTGGAGGTGGTGATATGAGAGAAAAATAGCGTCACTTTTTTTTGGTGTATAAATAGCGTTCGTAATCAAAAAGAATCCCATAAATGATGAAATTCCAGCCAATACGGTTGAAAACGGATAAAAAATCGGCGAATTATAGCGATTTTTAGTTTTACTGAGGCTTAGACTACAAACTACAAGTTTTCCTAAGCCTCAGGAAAACTAAACTTCATCGTTTCTGCTCGTTTTCAACTCAAAATCCGTTAGTTTTTCGTTTTTTTTTCAGCAAATTTCTTGTAGCTCCGCCCCTTTTTATCCCGAAAAATCACAAAACTGTAGCCAAAAATGGGTGAAAAGAAATAGGGTGATTTTTAGTTTTCCTGAGGCTTAGACTACAAACTACAAAAATTCCTAAGCCTCAGTAAAAATTAAAGTCACCCAAATTCGATGATTTTTCGAACCGTTTTTGCTCGTTTTTTGCTCATTTTTTCCATTTTTTGTATTTTTCGTAGCTCCGCCCCTTTTGAACCCTATTTCTTCCAGAATCATGCACATTCTCGTCACCGGAGCCGCCGGTTTCATCGGAAGTCACACTGTGCTGGAACTCCTGGAGTCTGGCTACACCGTTTTGTGTATCGACAACTTTGCCAACGCGATTTCTGGTATGACTCCCCGTGCTTCCGCTTAAAAACCCTATCGCTCCGCCCACTTTTCTCAAACTCCGCCCCCTCGAAAAATTACAGTTACAGACGAGCACGGAAATGCGATTTCGCTGAAACGAGTGGCTGCAATCACCGGGAAACCCGTGCCATTCCAGAATGCCGACGTTTGTGACGAGGCGGCGCTGGAGAAGGTGTTCGCGGAGAATAAATTCGACGGAGTTATCCATTTGGCGGCGTTGAAGGCTGTCGGAGAGTCTGTTGCTAAGCCATTGCAATATTATTCGAATAATTTGGTGGCCAGTTTGAATTTGATTCAGGTTAGTTGGATTTTAGAACCAAAAATCATGAAAAATGGCTTAGGAAGAGCGATTTCCTGTTTTCCTGAGGCTTATACTACAAACTACAAAAATTTAAATATTGTTTATAATCAAAAACCCCAAAAAAATCACAAGATTCTAGCCAAAAACGACTCACATCGGTCGAAAAATCATCGAGTTTGGCCGATTTTAAGTTTTACTGAGGCTTAGACTGCAAACTACAAAAACTACTAAGCCTCAGTAAGACCTAAATCTACATCCGTTTCCGCTCGTTATTGGCTCGAAACTCGTCTTTTTTTTCTGGAAACTTGTAGTTTGTAGTGCCTAAGCCTCAGTAAACAATCTCCTCTGTCTTTGAAATATTGTTGGACTACAAACTACAAAAAAATCTGCACTTTTGGGAATTTTTGTTTGCGCGTTTTCGATGATTTTTAGCCTAAAAATTAAGGATTTTTAAGACTTTTTGAGCATAAAATCATAGAAAAAATCATAGAAAAATCATCGGCTTAAAACGCCGATTTTCTGTTTTCCTGAAGCTAAGACTACAAACTACAAAAAATCCTAAGCCTCAGGAAAGTTTGAAGTGATTATAACTAAATTTGTAGCTAAAACTACAAACTACAACTTTTTTCTCCAGATGTGTCTCAAATACAACGTGAAGAACTTCGTCTTCTCCTCCTCAGCCACCGTCTATGGACCACCATCCGAGCTACCAATCACCGAAAAGTCTCAAACTGGACAAGGAATCACCAATCCGTATGGACAAACGAAGTACATGATGGAGCAGATTCTGATTGACGTTGGCAAGGCGAATCCCGAGTGGAATGTGGTCCTTTTGAGATATTTCAACCCGGTTGGAGCACACAAATCAGGATTAATCGGAGAGGATCCAAAGGGTGTCCCAAACAATTTGATGCCATACGTCAGCCAGGTAGCCATTGGGAAATTGCCGGTTTTGACGATTTATGGTGATCAATTTGATACTGTCGATGGAACTGGAGTTAGAGATTATATTCATGTGGTGGACCTCGCCAAGGGACATGTTAAGGCTTTTGATCGTATTAAGGTATGGGTTTTAATGATTTTTAAGCGAAAAATTAGTTAAAATGACCTAAATCACCTTTTTGACAATAGAGCGCACTTGGTGTGTTTAAATTTTCAAAATTTGCGTTTTAAAAGCGAGAAATCTGCTTTAAAAAACCAAAAAATCGTCAAATTCAGAATTTTAGCAATAGAGCGCACTTGCTGTGTTCTAAATTCCAAAATTTGCAGAACGTTGGAAACGTCGGAACTGAAATTTACAATTTGGGCACTGGCGTTGGATACTCGGTCCGACAGATGGTCGACGCGTTGAAAAAAGTCAGCGGAAGAGATATTCCAGTCAAGGTGAGAGAGAGAGACTACAAACTACAAAAATTTCCAGAAAAAATGACGAAGTTTGAGCCAGAAACGGCCGAAAACGGATGAAAATGAAGCGAGCTCGACTTTTACTGAGGCTTAGAAGCGCTTTGTAGTTTGTAGTCAAATCTTCAGTAAAACTTGCAATCTTTCTTATTCGATGTTTTTTTTTCGTTTAAATCGTTTTTGGCTAGAATTTTCGGGATTTTTAAATTTTCATCAAATTTGCTGAGGCTGAGAGACTACAAACTACATTTTTACAGAAAAAATGACGAAATTTGAGCTAAAAACGAGAAAAAACGGACGAAAATAAAGCGATTTGAATTTTTACTGAGGCTTAGAAATGTTTGTAGTTTGTAGTCTAAGCCTCGGTAAAAACTTCTAACTCTGCCACACCGGTATTTTTACTGAGGCTTAGACTATAAACTACAAAATTTTCTAAGCCTCAGTAAAACTTCGAATCGCTGCAAATCGGCTCATTTTTGTCCGTTTTTGACGGTTTTTGGCTTGAAATTTATCAAAATGTATTCCTAATTATCCCTAATTACCCCATAATTATTTTCAGATTGGCGTCCCACGCCCCGGTGACGTGGCATCCGTCTTCTGTGATCCATCGCTGGCCCAAGAGAAGCTCGGCTGGCGCGCCGAGAACGGTCTGGAGGAGATGTGTGCGGATTTGTGGAATTGGCAAACGAAAAATCCACAGGGATTCTCGGCATAATTTATTGATTTTTAATTATTTAATTACCCCAATTATCTTGAATTTAATTTTTTTTTCTAAAAAAATACACATTCCTCGCTTTCTTTTTCTCTGTAAAATAATGCCTTTTTCTATGTACCTCCGCTTCCTTTTTCTGTAATTTTTTTATTATTTTCTGATTGCCTCAGAAATTCTTTTTTCTCAAAATTTTGATTTTTAAACTTTAGTTCTAAAGTTTTGACCTACTTTCATTATTTTATCATTAGAGCGAACTTTCAAATTAGAAAAAAATTATAAATTAGATGACGTCACTACCGTCAACGTCTTCTGAATCCGAATCCCTGAACATTGGAGTTCTGGGCCACGTGGATTCGGGAAAAACGACGTTGACGCGGCGAATCGCCGAGATGGGATCGACGTCGGCGTTCGACGCGCACGTCACGTCTTCTGGCGACGGCATCAGACGGAATACACTGGATTTGGGATTCTCGACGATGACGTCGTCGTCTGGAAGACGTTTCGCGCTGATTGATTGTCCAGGACACTCGGGATTGATACGAGCAGTTCTGGCGGCTAGTACGGTGTTTGATATGGCTATTGTGGTACGGTATCTTTTTGTAGTTCTCAGTGTGACCGTGAACTACGAAAAAATGCAGAACAAATGATCTAAAAATCATTGGAAACGGACGAAAATGAGCTGAGATACAGCGATTTTAAACTTTCCTGAGGCTTAGGAATTTTTGTAGTTTGTAGTCTAAGCCTCAGTAAAAACTTCAAATCAACGCAACTCGACTCATTTTCGACCGTTTTTAATGATTTTTAGTTCAAAATTTGCATTTTTTCTTATTTTTATAGTCAAACTACAAACTACAAGAGAAAAATTTTTCCAATTAATTCATCAAACTCGCACTTTTCCCTTCATTTTGGAATTTTCGTTGAGAAAAAAAAAACATTTTTGTAGTTTGGCCATAAAGATACGGAAAAAAAACGCAAAAGTTGTGAGCTAAAGATCATTGAAAACGGACGAAAATTAGCCAAGTTAGAGTGGTTTTAAGTTTTACTGAGGCTTAGAGGCTACAAACTACAAAAATTCCTAAGCCTCAGTAAAAATTCAAATCGCTGTAACTCGGCTCATTTTAGTCCGTTTTTAATGATTTTTTTTTTCAATTTTTTTTTCTATTCTGTAGTTTGTAGTTTGTAGTCTCCTCTATTTTCAGATAATCGACGTTCTGGCTGGAATTCAACCTCAAACCGCCGAACATTTACTTCTAGCCTCCAAATTTTGCCCAAATAGAGTCATTGTGGTCCTTAATAAATGTGATTTGGCGGATAGCGCAAAAGTTTGTAGTTTGTAGTTTTTGTAGTCTTTGTAGTCAACCGTTTTTCAGATAGCAGAGACTTTGAAAAAAGTGAAAAAGGGTCTAAAATCGATGGGCGTCGATGAAAACTCGCCGATCGTTGAGATGAGCTTGGCCGAGGAGTTTTTTAGGCCAGGTTGGGGATTTTCTAGGCCACCAAAAGTTAGGCCACACAATTTCAGATTTTCAGAAATGCTCGAAAACCTCAAAAATGCGCTAGAAACGCGAATTTTCGAGCCGAAAAGAGATACGGAAAGCGAGTGAGTCGTCTAGACTACAAAAACTATAAACTACAAAAATTTTTATCACAGATTTTTGATTGCCATCGATCACTGTTTCGCGATCAAGGGACAAGGAACAGTGCTCACTGGGACCGTGATCAGAGGAATTTTAAAGTAAGCTACAAACTACAAACTACAAGTAAAGACTACAAACTGCAAAAATGTTGAAAATTTTTCAGCCAAAAATCATCAAAAACGGATGAAAATTAGCCGAGTCGCATCGATTTGAAGTTTTCCTGAGGCTTAGGAATTTTTGTAGTTTGTAGTCTAAGCCTCAGTAAAACTTAAAACCGCTCTAACTCGGCTATTTGTGAAGCTTTTCAAGCCATTTTTGGCTGTGAAATTGTGTAGTTTGTAGCTTAGAGAATTAATGAGGTTTAGACTACAAACTACAAAGATCTCTAAGCCTCAGTAAAATTTGCAGACTCAATGCCGAAATTGAATTCGCGTCGCTCGCCGAACGTCGTCGTGTGAAGACGTTAGAATCATGGAAACAGCGTGTGAGCCACGTGGCAGCTGGAAATCGAGCCGCTTTTCTGGTATCGCCGTCGTTTGACGAATCCAGATTCTCCAGATGCATTTCTGGAGCACCTGGAGCACTAAAACCGACGACCCATGTCTTGGCGACTGTTGACCCTATTCAATTCTTCCGAAAATCGATAAATTCCAAGTCGAAGATCCACGTGGCAGTGGCATTTGAGACTGTCATGGCAGAGTGCCAATTTTTGAGAGACGCAGACAGCGGAGAGGAGTTTGAAGTGCTTCCCGCGCTTCTGGCACCGTGCCAAGTGTTATTGATTTTTGAAAAATCGGTATTTCTGCCGGAAGACTGCAGTATGCCGTTCATGGCCGCCCGCTTGGAGCAACAACCCGGCCAGGGGTGTCGATTTGCGTTTTGTGGAGAGATTTTTAGGAAAAATGCTGAAATTCTGAAGAGATTTTCGAGAAAATTGAGAAAAGGCGTCGTGGAGAGAATCGAGAAGGACGGATATTCGGCGATTTGTACAGGAATGTTCAAGGCGGAGACGAATTTTGAGATTTTTCGGAATTTTCAGGTTTCGCTTGGCGGGAAATTGGAAATTTGAAAATTTTCGAGCATTTGTTTTCTTAGTTTTTGGAAATTAAAATTAAAAATTACTAATTTTCGAAGTAATTAGAAGATGTAATTATGTAATAATTGCGACTTGTGATTAATTTTAAAACAAAAAAAAATTTCAAAAAAACATTTTTTTTTTCGAAATTTTCAGATTTTTCTGAAATTTCGCATTTTCAGATCATCACCGCATCCGGTCCACGTGGCACGATTGAAGGCGCATTCGGAAAATCTGGAAAATTCCGGGTCACTTTTCCCCAAAAAATCGATAAAATCGTTCAGGAAAAAGAGGAAATTTCGTTATTTTTGAAGAAATATCATAATGATAATCGGCTTATCAGTTATATTCCGGATGATTTGAAATAAAACTATTTATTTATTTTTCCAATTTTTTATCCTTTTTTCCGGTTTTTGAGCCATTTTCCGATATTTTTGCAAAAAAATTTTTTTTTGAAAATTTCGATTTTCCCGCCAAGCCAGATGCTCATCTCACTGCTCCCTCGTTTCGCTCGATGCACACGATTCGCATCGACGACATCGGCGCTTCTGAAGGAGAAAAAATCCACGTCATCATCAGCGAAAAATGTGGAAATCGGCGACGACGGACTACCCAAAGACTATAAATTGAAGACGTTACGAGCCGGAAGTCGTCGGCTGGATACGTTTGTGAATCGAGCGACTGGACAGAGCAGCAGGTGCACAACCTACAAAAATTTTGAGCCAAAAATCGGCGAAAACGGGGAAAAATGAGCCGAGATACAGCGCTTTTAAGTTTTACTGAGGCATAGGAGTTTTGTAGTTTGTAGTCTTAGCCTCAGTAAAACTTCAAAGCGGTGTAACTCGGCTCATTCCCATCCGTTTTCAATGATTTTTAGCTGAAAATTTTTGTTTATTTTTGTAATTTTTAGTCAGACTACAAACTACAAACTACAACTATTAATTTTTTAAAATCTTTTCAGCGAAGTCATCAAATTGATCATGCAGGGAAAAGTGCGAGTGAACGATGAGGTCTTTACCAAGAAGGCGTATAATGTAATAACTAAAAATCTGAAAGTTCTAAAATGTTCAAAAAATTCAGATTTGCCAAGACGACGTCATCGAGGTGTGGAAGTCGCCGTTCGCTGACAACGCCGCGTTGGCAAACGTGGAGAGAACAGAGGTAGAGATTTTACTGAGGCTACAAAATACGAAAAAATTGAAACATTTTAAGCCAAAAATCATGAAAAACGGACGAAAATTAGTTGAGGTACAGCGATTTTTTGTCTTTACTGAGGCTTAGCTATTTTTGTAGTTTGTAGTCTAAGCCTCAGGCAAATTTAAAAAAATTGTATCTCGGCTCATTTTCATCCGTTTTGATGGGTTTTAGAGGAAAATTTTTGAAATTAAAAATATAATTTTTGGAAAACTACAAACTACAAACTACAAGTTTCATATTACAGATCGTCTCCTACGAAGTGACCGATCAGGGATACAATTTCGAAGTGAAGAGCTGGAAGAATTTTTTGTCTGATAACTGGCGCTCGTCTCAATAATAGATTTCATGTTTTTTTGTGATTTTTAGGATTTTTTCAGCTATTTTTAGAATTTATTGAAAAATAAAAACAATAAATTATTTTATTTGTACAATTATTTAAAAGTGTTAAAAATTGAAAAATTAGGAATTTTCAGAATCGGAATTTTTACTTAAAAAAGCGTAAATTCGGTGACAATTCATTAGTAGGAGTGGAAGAAATACCAGAGCATGGGTGGTTCCTGGAAATTAAAAAAAAACTAAAAATTATATTTTTTTTGAAAATTCAAAAAAAAAACTTTTCTGAAAACCTGACATCACATTTATACTCATTTTGAAGAGCTTTTCAAAGCGAATCTAACCATATATTTTCTCATTTTTTGCCGCAAAAATAGGCCGAGTTACAGTAGTGTAAACATTTGAGGCGCACGCGACGCACGACCGCGACGCACCCGAAAATGCAAAGTTAACCGATCATAGCCGGCTTGTTTTAAAGCGCAGGACAAGCTGAGCAATAAGCAGATAGTTTCAACTTCGAGAAATTCGAATTCAGCGGAATTTCAAAAAAAAAACAATTTTCGAATTTCGATTTTTTGAGCTTTTTTCGAAATAAAAAAAAAACTTACCAAATAAAATAACCAGCAGAACAGTTCTAAAACAAGTCTGTACAACATAACTGTCTACCAGGTACAAAGATGAGACACCCAATAAAACCGAGACAGATGCTTGTGTTACTGGCCATCCTACAGTACCCAGTGTATGCGAAAATCTCGAAAAAATTGGGGATTTTCCATTTTTTGGCAGTCTAGATTCAGTCATATACGCATATGAAACATGGGCGGCGAAATCTGCAAAAAAAAGTTTTCTCGATCACTCTAATAGAAGATCACTCAATTTTGAGCCCATTTACCTCGGTTACTGTAAGAGATATCAAAACGTAGTCAACTGATAAAATATTTTTGATATTAAGATAAACATTTTGCCAGTTGACCACTTTTAGATATCTTTTACAGTAACCGAGATAAATGGGCTCAAAGTTAGAGATCTTTTCACAGCTCTTTTAGAAGAACCCTCTACTACCACTTTAAGCCTATTTATCTGGGTTACTGTAAGAGATAACAAGAAGTGGTCAACTAACAAAATGTGTAGCAACAAATAAAACATATTTTACCAGTTGACCACTTTCTCATATCTTCTACAGTAACCGAGATAAACGAGCTCAAAGTTGGCGTTTCGGCACTCACCAACAGAAAATCCAACACTCATTGCTACAGTAATCATTGAAGTGGCATCCAGAGAGACGCCAAGAAAGGACATGGTACCTATGACTCCAAAAGCAATAGAAGCAATGTTCAGGCCTGCAAAACTACAATTTGACTACAAAAACAACAAACTACAAAAATTTCAAGCATATTTTCTTAAAATTCCCTTAACTCGGCTCAAAATCATCATAGAAAGCTCATTTTGGGCTCAAAATGTTCCATTTATCTTGTTGTTTTAAACTACAAAGACTACAAACTACAATACCTATAATCAACGAGCACAATGGTTGTGGGATGAAAAGTAGTGCGACTGGAATCATGACAGCAATTGAGATATAAATATCCTGAAGCGTTTGTGGCCACATTATATCGTATTCATCCGCTATATTCCAAAGGGGTGAATAGGTTGTCATACTGTAGTTTTGGTGTTTTTCGGTGAGCAATCTGAAACACTTTGGGATTTTTGAAAAAAAAGTTATTAAAACTTTTTTTTCAATTTTTAAAAATTTCAGCTAAAATTTTTTTCGAAAAATCTAATCACAGTTATGATCATTTTGAAAAACTTTTCAAGACAAATTCAACCATATCTTTTTTATTGCGTTCCGCCCAAAACTAACCAAGTTACCGTGGTTTGAAATTTTGAGGCGCACGCGACGCTCGACCGCGACGCACCCGAAAAATCACAAGTAACCGATCCTAGGCGTGTTTGGGCTTGTTTTGAAGCGCAGAACAAGCTGAGCAATGATCTAGTAGTTTCAACAGTATACTTCTAACAAGAAAAGTTGAAGTTTTGAAAATTAAAAAAAAATTTTTTTTTTGGAATTTTTTTTTAATTTTCAAAAAATTACCTCATTGTTTTCGCACAATTTGAGATTTGCTCATCGTTATCGACATTTTTGAGTCTTGTTGATAACCGGAATTTTTTCGAATCCAACACATCGTAGCCGAACTTTTCGTTTGACATTAAAAACGTTTTTTTGGTTTGGGACAGCTTCTGAAATAGTATTTTTGGATTAGAACTAGACTACAAAGACTACAAAGACTACAAAGACTACCAAGACTACAAAGACTACAAAGACTACAACCTACAATTAAAAAGTTGAAAGTTAAAAACTTAGATTGTTTAAATTCAGTAAACTGAAATTCCAAAAATAGTCTAAAAATGGAAAACTTCAAAGTTTAGGATTTTCAGAAAATTTCAAAATTGCAGAATAATCTGAAATTCAATTTTCAAAAATCTGAAAATTCGGAAGACCCAGAGACCACAGTAATCCTAGATAACCTACAGTAATCCGAATTACATGGGATACAGCATTCCTAGTTATAGTAATCTACAGTAATCTTAGATTCAGAAGGCTACAGTAATCCTAGCCTAGGAGTCCTAGGCATATAGGATACAGTAATCGTTGAATCGAAAATCTTCAATTTTGGAAATTTTGAAATTTCGAATCGGGATTCGAGAATATCGAATTTGAGGATTCTGAGAAAAACTGAAATTCGAAGAATTTTGTAGTTTGTAGTCTTTGTAGTCTCCTTGTACCCACCCGATCACTATTCAACGTTCGATTCAAATCCCCTCCAAATCCCAGCTGACTCAAATACGTTTGCATTTCGAAAAACCAAAATTGTGTCGAATTCCGTCCCTCCGAGCACCAAGTTGACTAAAATCAATAAATCGATTATCGATTTTTAAAAAAAAATTCACCTCAAATTCACTTAAAACCTCCAAAAACTGAAATCTCTCTTCGGAATTTGTGAAATTCGGAGAATTCATCACAGCAATGTCCATAATCTACTATTTTGTAGTTTGTAGCTTTTGTAGTTTTTGTAGTCTACACTCACTTTTGTATCCTCTGGAAATAGGTTTTGACGGACTTCGAGGAAAACTCAGAGGCGGAGCTCTCTTGGACAATATTGATGAGCTGGAAATGTAGTTTTTGTAGTTTTTGTAGTCTTTGTAGTCTAAAAACTCACATCAAACCCAATTTTCAACTGTTGTATTCCATAAAACGCTGTTGTCAAATAGGCAATATAGACCAAAAAACTTAAAATCGAGATTTTTGAATCCGAAACAAATGGAGCATATTGATCTTCAAAGAATTTCTGATACCACATCCGGACGTCTTCATTTTCAGAAGCAGTTTCAGCATTTTCAGATGATTTTTCATTATTATTATTATTGTTTTCCTCGTCTGCCTTTACAGTAATCCTACTGCCCATTTTGAAGAGCAACTCGTGAGAAGCGGCGGATTCTGAAATTTGGTTTTTTTAACTTGGAAAAATGTATGTTTTGTAAAAAAAAATTTTTTCTGAAAATCATTTTTTTTACAGTTTAATTTTGATATAAACTATTAAAACTAGTATATTATTGCTCAGCTCGTTATGCGCTTCAAAACAAACCTAAACACGCCTATGTTCCGTTAACTTTGATTTTTTTGGTGCGTCGCGGCCGTGCGTTGCGTGCGCCTCAAATTTTCAAACTACTGTAACTTGGTTAGTTCTAGGCGGAGCGCAATGAAAAATATATCATTAGATTTGTCTCAGAAAGGGCTTTAAGGTGATCATATGTTTGACTTCATTTTCAAAAATTGCAAATTTTCGATTTCTCAAAAAATCCTAAATCGTTGATTTTCTCATTTGTCGCTTATTTGTCATTTCTTGTTGAAAATAAGAGTATATTATTGCTCAGCTTGTTATGCGCTTCAGAATGAGCCTAAACATGCCTATGATCGGTTAACTTTGATTTTTTAGGTGCGTCGCGGCCGTGCGTCGCGTGCGCCGGGGATATTCAAAAAACAGTAACTCGGTTCATTTTGGGCGGTAGACAATGAAAAATATATGGTCAGGTTTGTTTTGAAAAAGGCTTCAAGATTAATATAAATTTATCTACATTTTCAGAAAATTTAATTTTTTGGAATTTTAAAAAAAGTTTTGATTTTTTCATTTTCCGTTTTTTTTGTCTTTTTTTGCTGAAAAACGCAGTGAAACCTTGTTCAACTCATTATGAGCTTCAAAACGAGCCCAAACACGCCTATGTTCCGTAAACTTTGAATTTTCTGGTATGTCGCGGTCGTGCGTCGCGTGCGCCGGAAATTTTCAAACCTCTGTAACTCGGTTCATTTTTAGCGGAACGCGATATTAAGTATATTGTTGGCTTTGTCTTAAAAAGGGCTTCAAGATAATCATAGATTTGATTAGATTTTCGGAAATTTATTTTTTTGGATTTTCAAAAAATCTTTGATTTCCTAATTTTTCTTTATTTTGTTATCCTCCGTTGAAAATTGCAGCGTAATGTTGTTCAACTAGTCAAGGGCTTCAAAATGAGCCCAAACTTGGCTATAATCGGAGATGGTCAATTTTTTGGGTGCGTCGCAGTCGTGCGTCGCGTGCGCCGGAAATTTTCAAACCTCTGTAACTCGGTTCATTTCTGGCGGATTACAATAAAAAGTATATTGTTAGATTTGTTTTAGAAAGGGCTTCAAGATGATCTAAGTTTTCAAAATAAACCTCAAAAAAAATTTTTTGGGAAATACTCACCATAATCTTCCAAATCCCTAGTTTTTCCACCGGTAACCGAATGTCTCAATTCCTGCTCTCGTTTTCCTTGAAGTGCCAAAAAAGCGACGAACATTGTGAGGCAATACAGAAAAATGAATAAAATCGCCGCAGAGGAATAATAGCAAAAATACATGACAGCTGGTAATGGAGCAATTGAGCCAATTATGAATGCCAATGCATCGGTTAGCGATGTTATAGAAATGGAGACCGCCGCATGGCGCATTGATTTTTCAATTCGTTTCTGGAGAAATTGTAGTTTGTAGTCTTTGTAGTTTGGTTCAAAAATTAGATTTCTGTGATAACTATGAATGAAGGTATGCTACAATTAGTATAACATTGTGTAGTTTGTAGTTGCTTACCTCATACGGTAGATTTCTATCTGTCTCGTGCCAAGCTGCTAGCATAAGAAATGTGTCGTCAATCCCAATAGCTGAAATTTTGTAGTTTGTAGTCTTTGTAGTCTTTAATGACAAAATCTCAAAACCGTATTTCCTCCAATAGAAGCCGACCCAAGCTGTAAACTTTGAGCTTCATTATCTGGGTTCCTATGAGAGGTACCAACATTTTGTTAACTGATAAATTGTTTATAATAATATCACCAATATTTTATCAGTTGACATTTTTTTTGTTATCTCTTACAGTAACCCAGATAAATGGGCTCAAAGCCAGAGTTCCTTTCATAGCAGTGTTAGAAGAGACCCTTTTACTTTGAGCTCCCATTTATCTGGGTTACTGTAAGATATATCAAAAAAGTGGCCAACTGATAAAATATTTATTATAATATCACTAATATTTTATCAGTTGGAAAAATTTTGATATCTTTTACAGTAACTGAGATAATCGAGATCAAAATTAAGTGAGCTTCTATTAGAGAAAGTAAGGTAACTCTGCTCAAACTCATCATACGAAGGTGATTCTTGAACGAAAAAATTCACTTACTCAATGATAAAAACGGCATTACAGTACACATATCAACAAAAGTGACGTCCATAAGCATGAGCAATCCGGTTGATGAAATAATTGCACATAAAGTCACAAGAACTCCACAAACACCGAGAAGAGGTTTACTCAAAACCCAATCGATAATTGGCCAATTAGAAACGGATTGGTTAGTTTTAAATGAAACGAATTTGATGGTAAATGTGGAGAGGATGGCGAAAATGATGAGCACAGAGAAGGTTATCGAAAATCTGAAAATTTTTTGACTTTTTAGCTACCGTAACTCGGTCCATTCTTGTCTAAGCTCAGGGAAAAACAAATGAATGGATTTGTCTTGGAAAGAGCTTTGAAATGAGCCTAAACATGACTATGATCGGTTGACTTTGGTTTTTCGGACGCGTCGCGGTCGTGCGTGGCGTGCACCTCAATTTTTAGAACTACCGTAACTCGGCCCTTTTTATGCGGAACGCAATAAAAATGTTATCATTAGATTTGTCTAGAGAAGAGCTTTAAAATGAGCCTAACCACGACTAGGATTGCTTACTTTTGATTGTTAGGATACGTCGCGGTCGGCGCGACGCGTGCGCCTCAAATTTTCAAACTACTGTAACTTGGCTATTTTTCGATGAAACTTGACGAAAATGACATGGTTGTGTTTCAGTTGAAATAAGCTTTAAAATGAGCATAAACATTACTATGGTCGAGAAAGTTGATTATTCGGGTGCGTCGCGGTCATGCGTCGCGTGCGCCGCAAATTTTCAAACTACCGTAACTCGGTTTATTTTGGGCGAAGTGCGATGAAATGTATATGGTTAGATTTGTCTTAAAAATGGCTTAAAACTGAAATAAATGAAATTGACTTACTTCGGTGTTAGCCTTCGATTCTCTTTCTCCAATTCCTCATCAAAAGTAGCCGAATGAAAATAATAAATATTCAATAATTCAGAAGGCGTCTCTCCCTTCTGAATCTTCTCAGCCAGTCCATCTTCGAAATCTTTCGATAATTGACCATTTGCGGGGCCAAACGCTTTCAATTGATACAGTATCATCCATGCGGATGCACTCTCCACATGCCCATTTGAGTCTAAACTCACATTTCCCAAAACTTTTGAAATATCGATTGGTTCTGTTGCATAGGTACTACGGTAGATTGGAAATGAAATGTTGAACATTGAGTTTTGATGATTTTTCGAGTAGATGTCTGCCAGCAACTTGGCATGAGTGTTTGAGAAACAATCGTTCTGGAAAAATTGCGTGCGTCGCATGCATCTCATATTTTCAGATTACCGTAACTCGGTTATTTTCGGTCGGTTTTCGATAAAAAATACACAATTGAGTTTGGTTCAAAGAGAGCTTTAAAATGAGCCTAAACTCGGCTAGGATCGCTTATGTTCTATTTTTCAGGTGCGTCGCGGTCAAGCGTCGCGTGCTCCTCAAACTTTCAAGATACCATAACTGGGCCCATTTTTGTCTAAACACGATGAAAAATAGATAAGTAGATTTGTCTCAAATAGAGTTTCAAAATGAGCCTAAACATGCCTATGATCGGTCAGTTTTGATTTTTCTGGTGCACTGCGGTCGTGCGTAGCGTGTGCCTCAAATGCTTAAACTACTGTAACTTGGCTGGTTTAGACCAATTTTTATGAAAATAGTATGGCTAGATTTGTCTTAGAGAGGGCTTCAAAATGAGCCTAAACACGCTTATGGTCTGTTAACTTTGATTTTTGGGTGCGCCGCGGTCGTGCGTCGCGTGCGCCGAAAATTTTCAAAGTACTCTAACTCAGTCATGTTTTGGTGGAAATTGAAAAGAAGTATATGGTCAGATTTAGTTTCGGAAGAGCTTTCAAACTAGTATAGGCATGACTGAATTTTCGGAAAATTAATTTTTTTGAATTTTTTGAAACTTTTTGAAAAAAAAAACAATTTTCTCACCTGAAAATGCAAGCAGACATCTTTATAGGTGAAGATTCTTCCAGCAGAACTGATTAACTTCACACTTCCAATCCATTCCAGAATTTTCAGAAAGTCTTTTGCGTGATTTTCTCTTAAAATATTTCCAGAATCTTTAGCATTCACAATCAGATATATTCCTTGTCTGCGGAGAATGTCTTTTCCTAAAACGTAAACTACAAAGACTACAAAGACTACAAAAAGCTACACACCTGGATAGAAGTGGTCATCATCCTTTGCCCAATTCTCTCCGAACACTGCCTCTTCTGACTTCCACGTGGCATTCAAAGGCGCATACAGATAATTGACACCTCGGACGATTTTGAAGTTCAGAATGATACCCATTGATAAGCAGATAGTGATGATGAATGGGATTATGATAAATGGCCAAGGGTGTCTGAAGAAGAATTTTGGATTTTGGGATCAAATTTTGAAATTTAGAATTGTCTTGTTAGACACAGTTTGTTGAAGTTAGTATAATATTTCTCAGCGTGTTATGCGCTCCAAAACAAGCCTAAACACGCCTATGATCAGTTAATTTTGATTTTTTGGGTGCGTCGCGGTCGTGCGTTGCGTGCGCCTCAAATTTTCAAACTACTGTAACTTGGTTAGTTCTAGGCGGAGCGCGACAAAAAGTATATGACTGGATTTGTCTTAAAAAGGGCTTCAAAATGATAACATTTACAACAAGATTGCTTTTTGAATTTTTTTTGGGAAGTTTTAGGAATTTCAATATTTTCAAATTTTAAAAACATTTTTCTTCTTATATATACAGCTAAAATTAGCATATTAATTTTCAGTGTTTGGTGCGCTTCGAAATGAGCCTAAACATGCCTATAATCGGTTAACTTTACTTTTTTGTGTGCGTCGCGGTCGTGCGTTGCGTGCGCCGGGGATATTCAAATCACTTTAACTCGGTTAGTTTTAGCCGGAACGAAGTCAAATGTATATCGTTATATTTGTCTCTGAAAGCGCTTCAAAACGATTATAGTTTTTTTTTTGGAATTTCAGATTCTTTTTACAAATTTCGAAAACTTCTTTTTCAATGTCAACTATACATTTTTAAGACTAGTATATTATTGTTCAGCTTGTTATGCGCTTCAAAACAAGCCTAATCAAGCCTATAATCGGTTAACTTTGATTTTTAGGGTGCGTCGCGGTCGTGCGTTGCGTGCGCCGGGTATATTCAAAGTACTGTAACTCAGCTAGTTCAAGGCGGAGCGCGACACAAAGTATATGGTTGGATTTGTCTTGAGAAGCGCTTCAAAACAATAACAAATTCAACTACAGTTTCTGACTTTTCAATTTTTCGAATATTTCAAAAATTTCAGAAAAAATTTTTTTTCGGCAGATCAAAAGAATCGTTAGGATTCTCGAAATTTCTAAAAAGCATATCTCACCTCGCAACAAAAAGACAATATTTAGCCACAATTTTGGACCATGGCTTCTCCAGAGGAGCGGCGCGAAATTTGAAAATCATTATTTTTGAAAAATAAGGCAAAATGTGATGTTCTATCCTCTACCGGATTATTCAACAAAATATGCTTCACCTTTTTTTTTCGAAGCATTTTTTGCCCATTTTTCTTAATTCTACCGGTTTTTGGTCAGACGGATTCTGAAGGAGAAGAAGAAGAAGAAGAAGAAGAAGAAGAAGAAGAAGAAGAAGAAGAAGGAGAAGACGTTGGTCATCTGATGTTATTAAGGAGGGGGGTACCTTAATTGAGGGATGACGATATTTAATTGGCTTGTCGGAAAAATTTTCTCCAAGAAAAAAGTGAAGAGGAGGTGCTAATAGGGATTATGATGATCAGGTGAAGGAGAAAAAGGTGACATACTATAAACTACAAAATCTTTGGGGTTTTTGAATTTTCATTGACTTTTATACAGCTTTGAAGAGCTTAAAAAGTTCTATATGAATATATTAAATTCGATTATTAATTTAAACAATTATAGCTGGGTCCGAGAGGCTTTAAATCGAATACAGTAGCTACTAGTGGCTTTTTAAGTGTACCTTCTTTGACAATCAACTATTTTGACTGTTCTACAGTAAAATACTAAATTCAACTAGTTTTAAATAGTTTTAGTTCCACCGGTTTTTTTTTTCAAAGAGGACAAAGACTGCTAGAAGGTGCCAATTTGGTTTTTTGAGTGTGCATAGCTTCTTTGGAAATCAAACATTTTTAGTGATTTGTACATCATTTTGTAGGACTTGAAAAGTTCTACAAAACAATAAGAAATTTGGCCATTTTCAGTTTAGTTCTTGCTAGACTAGAAAGCTTTAAAGCGAACACAGTCTGGTAGGAGGCGCCAGTTTGGTTTTTTGAGTGTAGCTTCTTCGAAAATCAACATTTTTGAACATTTTACTTCATTTTGCAGGATTTGAAACGTTATACAGGAAAATACTAAATTTAACGTATATTGACAAGTTTTATGGTTTAGCAAGTCTAGGAGAACTTCTAGGTGAACTCTCTACATTGCAAAAAAAGGCGTTGCCCTACTTTTTATGAGGGTTCCCTTCCTCAAATGCTACCTAAACATTATCGAATCATACATCATTTTTTAGATTTTTTCAAGATGTATATTTTCCTTTTTATCCCAATCGAAAATATGAATTTTGAAGCAAATTATGACCTTACGCGCTAAGTTCCCATTATTTGTTCCCCTCCTCCTTGTACCTTCCGTTTCCCCCTCGTTCTTATCAGCCCTTGCGACCTAATTGCAATGTCGGTTCCATGGTGTAGTGGTTAGCACTCAGGACTCTGAATCCTGCGACCCGAGTTCAAATCTCGGTGGGACCTATCGCTTTTTTCTTTTTGTTTTGTGAAGGAAATTCTTTTTAGAAGTGATTTTTAACGAGTTTCATGCGTTGTGTGGGAAACTGTAACCAGATAACTAGATAATTTGTTTAGTAACTCTAGGATAAAAACTGAAGATTCAGAAGTTTTTTTTTCTGAAAGAAGAAGCGGATGACGTAGGATTTAGGAAACTGAAATTGACCAAAAAGCAACATTTGAATTCTTCAAAGTGCCATAAACCCTGTAAACACTTTCCATAACTCCTGAGAACCATCCACGTAGCATTTCCCGATCTATAAAATAACCCTATCTAGTTTCTCTTCCTCTATTCCAAGTTGGAACATCCAAAAATGAGGTATCGCCTGCTCATCCCTATTCTGACTCTATTCCTCATTGAAACAAATGCATCAGATGCCGAATACAAGTTCGTCGTTGTTGAAGGAGAACCCGTCACTCTGAATGCGTCGGAATCTGTTCAAGTGGCGAGTTTCGACGAGTGTACGGACAAATGTGAACAAAAGACAGAGTGTGTTCTCGCATACCAATCCAACTCATCCGATCCCTGCTATCTTTTCGACTGGAATTCCATCACTCAAATCATCAAAAATGAGTCTGGAGGCAATGGAACCACTGCTTTCAAGGTGGGCTCTTTTTCCTTGGGACCATTTGATGTTGAAGATGAATATTTCAGGTGTATACCGATCAACCAGCTTGTGAACTCAATTCGGCATATCTTTTGAATGGAAAAACTTATGTGGGTTTAGAGGAAAAAGGTATCTAGAAAAAGGATCGATATTGTTCCAGCCGCTTCATCCAAACGACACTGCTCAAAATCTATGGAGAATCGACACTGCTGAAGATGGATGGACAATTACTTACAGTAAGTTTCAATGCGAATCTTGATAAACTGGCATATTCCAGTTGATACAAAACCATCGGAGAATCTGATCTGTGGAAATTTCACACATAACCGCCCTTATAAAGATGGATGTGATCCAAAATGTCTCATCACAATGGTCCAGCTCTTAGCAGTTCCTGGACCATTGACCGATATATCTTATGATGATAACATGACTACCTGGAATGAGTGTCTCTATCATTGTCACCGTACGCCTAGCTGCCTTGTGGTCTATTTCAATCCCGAGTTGACGCCCATGTGCCGCACGTTCACAGGGGAGAGAATATTCTTCCTGAACAGAACAGAGGCTAGTGAAATGGGAGGACAACATTTGGCACTGAAACTTCCGCTGAGCAATAAATCATGCTCATACACAACCGAGGAATTGTTGAATGACAAGTACTATGTGAGTTTTAACTTAAAAACTGTTTATGATAGCGAAACGTGTTTATTTCAGTATCCGAACAACAGGATTCTCCAGTTTTTTGATAGAACATTTTTCCGGATAAGAACCACTCCAAAGTATTACAAGATCTCGATTTATCGTGAGTTGACTAGACTGTCAGAGATATCAAAAAGTGGTAAACTGATAAAATGCTGTTGACACCATTTTGATATCTATGACAGGAAACAAGAAAAATTAGCTCCACGAATTGGTTTCAGAAGATGAAACGGTTAAGCACAATCCTAGGGGACCCGGATGCGAGATGAACTATCAAATATCCGTAATGTATAACGATGATAAAGACGGAAAAAATTTACCAGATCCGAATCCGATCCTTTGCAATCGCATCAAAAAGGCGCCAGGCATCACCGCCGATGCTGCCAGAGAGATTTGCAACGAATGGGATGGCGAGTTGGCGACAGAACGCTTTTTCGGCTACTTCAATCCATGCACCGTTACTGCGGCACAATTACTGTGCGATGCAAATGAGTCGTACGGATGGCAATACGGTATTTCATGTGCTCCTGGTACTCCGAGGATGTGGGTGGGAGTGAGGAAAAATAATGTGACACAACAGTTCCAATGGGCACGACCAGATTGGGCGTCTACAACCAACTCTAAGATTTATACATGCAAGTTCCCTAAGGAGGATCCAGGAGGACCATGGTTTATGAACAAAGTTGAGTACACTTGGGCACCTGGACAACCGGATAATAGCCCTGGAAAGTGAGTTAAAACTTCGAGCCATTAATGAAACAGTGAAATTTACTTAAACACTCTAGTAAAGAGGACGCACAACTGTCTAAACAGATAAAAACGGAGTATCTTGTCGGCGCAAGACATGGCAGAAATCATACTTGCGACCGGATTTTTACCGGGCCTCCGGGGGCCTTGCCATAGTTTCTTCTAGGATCTACATTCTTAGACTAACTAAATTAGATATGGTAGATCTCGATGAGTAATACGAAATGATACTATTTGAAAAATTGTGTTTTGTCTATGAACAAAGTTACAGACAAAAAAAGAAGTCCGCCACTTTATGACTTGTAACTTTGTTCATAGGCAACACACAATTTTCCAAACAATATTATTTGGTAGTAGTCGTCGAGTTCTATCATATCTAATTTAGTTGATTTGAAAATATTGATTCTAAAAGAAACTATGGCCAGGCCCCGCGAAGAAGCCCCGGCAAAAGAACGATTCAGAAATATAATTTCACGTTTGATTCGAAGCTATTAAAGGTGGGGGGACATGAAAAAAATAATGTTCTCGAAATTCCGTTCAAAGATGCCCCTCGAGGAGTTGAACTTGTGAGGGCGATGATTGAGGGTGCGGCGCCGCTACCGACTGAGCCACGCGGGCAAAGAGAAAGCGTACGCCCGATTGCATACATAAAGGCGAGGACGACAGCTGTACACAGAGTGACATTTAGCGTTGTACACCGTCACGCTAGAATGCATACTCTGGCCCCAAAAATCCCCCGTAAAATCTCCTTTCCCCCCACCTTTAACCAAGACGATTCCTCAAGTTTAAGGTGTTGTTACAATTGTCACGACATGAAACAACTTTGCCGCATTACTGAAGTGTTATGCTAGTACAAATTTTCAACCATCAACTTGGAGCTCAATATAGCTAGTTTCCTGTCAGAGTTATCAAAAGTGACCAACTGACAAAATGCTTATCATTATATGAAGAACATTTTGTTATTGGCTTGTTTTTTCATATCTTTCACAGGAATCGAGATATATGGGCTATAATACCCCTTAGCTTTCAACTTTGAATCTTTTTATTTCTCTTTTCTGTAAGAAAACACCAAAAAGAGGTTAACTGACCAAATACTCATGACAATGTCAAGAATAGTTCGTTATTTAACTACATTTTCATACATTTCAATGGAATCGAGATAGGCTGACTTAAAACATGTTATTATATTACAGTGACTGTGGCTATGTACAAATCGAAAAAAACATTACTAATTGGCCAGGCTATGGATTGTACTCAAGCAAATGTGACGTTGGTGGAACACATGGATTTGTGTGTCAGACACTTAGGCAGATGGACAAAGGCATTCCAAAGTTTATGGATATTCTCAATGAATATGGACAGGATCCAGCGAAGATCCAACAGCACCCATACAAAATTCAAACGAAGTATGATCCGGGCTACGGGCCATGAATTTTATATACAGTACCGCTCAATAAGTTATTATAAACAGATTTTTCAATACTAAATGTTTTCAATGCTAATACAGATTTTTTCAATGCTTAATTTGGCTGTTTACGTTTGATGCTCAGCAAAAAAAAAAAACAGGGAAAGAGCTCCCAAACTGTCAATTTTAAGCTCAGCTATTTTGATTCCTGTCAAAGATATCAGAAATTTGTCAACTGAAAAAATATTACAGGCGATACCTCATTGTTGGATGTTCCAACTTGGAGTAGAGGAGAAGGAACTAGATTGGGCTGGTTTTATAAAAAAGCTACATAGATGATTCTCAGGAGTTATGTGAAGGGTTTACAGGGTTTATATACTTTTCGGGGTTTAAAGATTTATGTGAGCTGGATTACTGTAGACACTGGTAATACCTCCGTACGGATGTTTTATCCTTGATTAAAATCGCCACAATTACCGTTCACGAATCCCTGATGGATTGATCTCAAAAAATCACGGTAAGAAAGTCCCTACACGGTAACGAGGGATGTGTTTGAAGGCAAACAATTCATAGAGCATTTGCTCTTCAGTCGATTCAATTAAAAATTAAATTAAATCAAAAATTGGCGTACAAAGAAATTTAGAGGTACAAAATACCTTGTAAAATTTGATTTTCGTACCCCAGAGTTATAGATTTTGTACCAGAATTGTTGTAACCTCCTAATTATTAGCCGTTTTTCAGTAGCTCATAAGTTAGCAAAACCATCCGTAACAGATCCCAGGATAGGATGGCAAGATTACTGAGACGGAACTAGACTTTACGATGGGAAGATTACAGAAAAAAAACTTGGAAATTTTTCAAGCCCTTCCAGAAAAGTGGATCTAGAATTTTTCATAGATTAGGATTCTAGAATCTTCTAGATGCTTCGGAAAGACAGTTTGAGGAAATATCTTCATTGTGATAAGAATTGATCAATAATAGGAAATCAATCATAATTATTCTGGATACTCGTTAATCCATCCAACAGGACGAATACAGCATGTACCTCTATATCCAAAGTCGTCGGCAACTTCCGACCATTTTTTGATATTCATCTCATTTACTTGGGCTGAAGAGCATGCGATTCCGTCGACTGTTGAATTGCAGCTGGAAAAATTGAAAATTTGAAGAATCTTGGAAATAACTCACGGTGCCGCATAGTAAGCATAGCCGTTGAACGGGTCGTATCCTTCTCCCCATCCCATGTAGGCGCAATTCCTGGAAGATTATGATGGATGCCGAGATGAGGATGAAGCAGCCAATTCTTGAGCCGCTAGCCCACCGAATTCTACCCCAGTTACAGACCAAATGGGTCAAAAAAACCGGCCCGGCCCGCATTTGCAGCTTTTTGGCTTGTAACTTTGTTCACAAACATGATACAGTGTCCCAAATACTATCATTTTGTAGTGCTCGTCGAGTACTACCATATCTAATTTAGTTGGTAAAAAAATTTCAATCCTAAAAGAAACTACGACAGGGCCCGCCACATCCCGCTTTTTACCCGTCCGCAAGTATGATTCACGCCATTTCCTGGTAAGGGGATACGCCACCACCATCCCTAGCGGTGGCGTCGCCCCTTGGACATGGCGTATCTCATTAGGACCTAGTTTTCATTAAAAATGTTCAATTACAAAAATTAAGCTCTAGTTTTGCTTAGTATATTCTGAAATTTTCAGGAAAAATGAGAAATGTTGAAACTTTTTTGATTGATTCTTTCAAAAGCTAAAAGTGATAAAAGGCTATAAAACTCACATATCAGGACCCTCTTTTGGCTCTCCTGGCGCCCATGGAATTGGCAACGCATCCTCGGGGAACTGCACGAAACGCGTATCCAACCATTTCCACTTTCCATCCGCTGGATCCTTCTCAAGTCCATGCCAAATTCTCGACGAGTTTTTGTAGAAACCCAATCGGAACAAATCGAACATGGTTTCTTGAAAATCGACCACTTGCAAATCCTCTTTTTGTTCGGCAATCATTTGAATCGAGCCCGCGTATCTGGAATTTATGGAGATGATTTTAGGTGAGTGAAACAAGTTTGCTCACTTGTCGGAAAGTAATTTTTGTCCCATCAACTGGCACAGTTCCTTGGCTTCCGCCTGTGTGATTCCAGGTGCTTCGTCGTATCGATAGCACATTGTCTCGTTGAAAAAATGATTGTACGCCGTATATTGTACGCCTTGATAATAGTCTTTTCGAAGTGCAGACGCCCTATTGTTGACTGGGCATCCATTAATCATGTTGAAATAGAATGACTCGTAGTAGTCCACTGAAATCCAACACATTTTTCAGCGAATGGTCAACAAAACTTAGGACTCACAGTACGAAGTGAAAACATAGTATTTTTCTGTCGTCTGCACTCTGAAAAACTGTCTGTCGAAAGTTGTCAGCATTGCGGGCGAAGACAACTGAAACATTGGATTTCAAAATATGATTCCATACATCATCTTACATAGTACTGATCATCTAACAGCTGATCAGTTGTCATTTTACAGAGTTTATCATTCATAGGAAGCTTGATTGCAATCTGATGTCCATCTGACGCAGACGTCCGTTCTAGGAACCAGAAATCTCCTGTCCAAACCATCACACATGTGGCATTATCTCTATCGAAATAGGCAGCGGCACATCTTAGGTCTTCGTGACACTTGTACATGCAGATTTCAAAGGTTTCTGCGGTTTTGTTGATACCGTTTCTCCTATACATGTTTCCTGCTGGTGGTTCGTACTCCCAGCCAGCGTCTTTTGTAAGGAATTTAGTAAGTGGTCCGAATTTGGCCCATACTTGGACCATGGTAATGTTGCACTCTGGATTACAGCCATCATCATATGGACGATTGTAGGAGAAGTTTCCGCAGACTAGACTGTCGATTGGTTTGGAATCAACTGAAAAGGATAATGCCTTCTATACAGTCGATGTTTGGGGCAATTGATTCGGAAGGTGCAAAGATTTTGGGGTCATAGGGTTTCAAAGCTATTTAGCGGTACAAAATACCCATAAATTGCTTTGTACGACGTTGTACCTTCAGATTTATGTGCGGTACTATTTTAACTTACTGTAAGTAATGGTCCATCCATCTTCCGAAGTGTCGATTCTCCATAGATTTTGAGCAGTGTCGTTTGGAAACAGCGGCTGAAACAATCTAGATACTGACAACTATTTTCTTCAAAACCCACATAAGTTTTTCCATTCAAAAGATATGCCGAATTGAGTTCACAAGCTGGTTGATCGGTATACACCTGAAATATTCATCTTCAACATCAAATGGTCCCAAGGAAAAGAGCCCACCTTGAAAGCAGTGGTTCCATTGCCTCCAGACTCATTTTTGATGATTTGAGTGATGGAATTCCAGTCGAAAAGATAGCAGGGATCGGATGAGTTGGATTGGTATGCGAGAACACACTCTGTCTTTTGTTCACATTTGTCCGTACACTCGTCGAAACTCGCCACTTGAACAGATTCCGACGCATTCAGAGTGACGGGTTCTCCTTCAACAACGACGAACTTGTATTCGGCATCTGATGCATTTGTTTCAATGAGGAATAGAGTCAGAATAGGGATGAGCAGGCGATACCTCATTTTTGGATGTTCCAACTTGGAATAGAGGAAGAGAAACTAGATAGGGTTATTTTATAGATCGGGAAATGCTACGTGGATGGTTCTCAGGAGTTATGTTGATGGGTTTACATGGTTTATAGAGTTGTTGAGGTTTCACTAGCAAAGAGAGATAAAGAGAAAAAACCAGGAAGTGATCTCTTTGAAGTTAAAACCGAGCTTCACATTGGCACATACCGTAAAACCTCTAATAGAACGACACCCGGATCGTCTACTTTGAGCCTATATATCTCACTTCTTTTGAAAGATATTAAAAAGTGGTCAACTAGTAAAATGTTTATCAGGATATCAGCAACATTTTACTAGTTAGCCACTTTTTGATATCT